AAAAAATATAGCTCACCGTCTCGTCGTCTTTTGCTCGCAGAATGAGAATGACAGGTTACCAAAGAGGATCCATTCAAGCCAAGCAAACCGATTCTGTGCCTTTTTGGTTATCCACGGCAAGAGAGAATCTGTCCTTCCAGGACCGGCTGCCAGCATTTCTTCCTCAAAGTTGGGGGTGTTTAAGCCGTATGTGCTGGCATAGGTTCGTGACACCTCTTCCGAGAGCTTGTTTGTGCGTTGTAGCGCACACCTTGCACTTAAAGTAGTCGGTTGGCTCTCCGGAGGCGTCGACGCATGGAGAAAAGTAGAACAAAACAACTTGCTTGTTTGAGATAGCCGAAGCTGGTGGTGGGCTTGTAAGGGGGACTTCGGCCATGATGGCAATATTCACAATGAATCGCTTAAATGAAGGAAGGTCCAGCAGACTAGTTAGTAGACGAAGTAAGGAGAGTTGGTTGATAGTGCTTGTAAAAACGGTCAAGTTTTTACGCATTAATAATTCTTACGTAAAAAGTGTTATGCATTTGTAAAGTCGATGTGGCTAATGGCAGCCAATTTATGTACATTAATGTATGGCATTATGCATTATTCGGCAGCCTTGCTCGGAGACGGGGAAGTGACAATAATGCATTCTCAAGCACTTGAGTACTTCCAGTATAAATTAATCACTTGACGAGGCTGAAGCTTCGCGTGGAACGTTCAAAACCGCCTGACAAGCCAATAAAGCTTCTCGTTTGCACAAAACGCTCACAGGTAGACTGCCATTGCGCTGCAAACTCTTCTTGGTCGCGTCTTCTTGCGAATCAAAGTCATTGGAGCCGCCCGCTAGCATAACGCACTCCATCGTCTTCTGCAAAGCCAGGAAGGTGTCGTTGATCTGTCGTTTAGAGACTGCGGCATATGCGCGCTCTACACCAGCAATAAGCTCTTCTATAGGAGGCTGCATGGTGGCAATACGGACTGTCAAATCTGGATAAATACTCTTGAGGAAATTGTGGTTTAGTACCACCAGTTCTGGACTGTAGGCTGGTTGGTATTGCACCTGAATATCCCAGCCATCTATCCTTCCATGCTCAGCAACCACGGGGTCATCGGGCGTTAATCGCATTTGCTGGTTGTCAAACTGGATGAAGACTCGTCCATCGCGCAACGAGCTCGGCATCTTCATCTTGATCGCTGGAATGACGTAGGATGTAATCATCGTCTGAATCTCCTTCTTGGTGATTGTCTCTAGTACACGGAACACTCGTCCGACTCGGGATGCTGCTTGGATCCCAGGTAATACTATGGCTTCTGCGTAGGGTTCTAAAGGTGGATCGGTTACCACAAATGGCCAGACACCAAGCTTGCCGTCAAACTGTTGCCGTCGCCGACTATCCCACTGAGGCCGAGCGACGGCGATGAGGAACATCGCTTTCGTCTTCTTCGCGTCGCGACTGCCGAGTAGTGAGCACCACTTGGTGTTGATGTGCACCACGTTGAACATGTCGTCGAACACTCCGTTGGGCCGCATCTTGTCCAAGCAGAACTTGAGTCGCTCCCGTTTATTCTTATCGGAAAGCGCTGGTTTGATTGCGTTAGCGATCGTCGGCTTGGCATCGGAGTTGGAGTCCTGTTGCTCGGCAGTATTGATCACTGGGTTACCAGTCGAGTCTTCGTTCCGCAATAGACGGAATAACGTCGTGCGCGGGACACCTACAGCTGTTGACAGCGCTCGGAGCGAGCCACGTTGACTCAACGGGAGCTGCTTTACCCGCTCTAACGCAGCCGAGTAGTCCTTCTTCTTGCGTCCACAGTTGCCGCGCTTTTTGGACAATACCTGATTCATCACGACGTCGGTGGGCGCTCCAACGTCTATTGCCGCTTTCATGAGGTTCCAGACGCGCGACACCGTGTTGCGGTGCACCTCGAATTTGTCAGCAGCAGCGGTAATAACAGAGCGAGGTAGGCGAGCCTCACCCATGCTGTGTTTGAGCAGGAAATCGGCCATCGTGAGACGCTGATCGTCCGTCAGGTTGGGTTTGCGGCGTCCGTGCGTCTTGTCCTCCTGCGGCAGTTCAGGCGGATAGCTGACGTTGTCCGGCAGCTCGGTGTCTGTCAAGAGGATCGACGGGTCCGACATTGAGCTTGATGGTGAGTTGCAGAATGGAATATTTCCACCATCTATTCTGGACATCTTTTTATCAACGAATCAGTGGACGGGAAAATAAATTTTATCCACTCATAATCGATCTTTCATTCCGGAAAAAATGAACCAGAGCCCCAGTAAAAAAAACATCACCATGCTCAAGTACCAGAAGTGGCTCGCTGCATTTGTCGTGCTGCTAGCGCTGTGGCTGCTGCTGCTACGGTACGCAGCCGACCACGCCCAGGACACACGCGTGCTACAGGTGGTCACGGCGCTGCCCATGTATGCGTTGGTGACTTTCGGAGCGTACTCGCTGGGGGTTATTGCGCTGTCTGTCATGGCTGTGCAAGACTGCCCCGATGCGGCCAAGGAGTTGGACCGGCAAGTCGTGGAGGCGAAGGCTGATTTGACCAAGAAGGGATTCAAATTCTAGGCTGCAGCACTCGAAGAGCAGAAAACTCAAGTTGACGACCTGGAGAGGAGAAACACGAAGAGGAAACTACAACGGCAATTCATGCGCGATACAATGCAAATTGCAGTGAATCGAGGACTGGCATGATCAGGAGATTACAGGCATCTTGGTGGTGTGGAAAATTTGTATCTATACGGTCGTGCTCGCTTCCTGCAGCGCCAAGAAGAGTAGGATCGCTGCACGACAAGCCCATGCTGCTTCGTGTCATGCGTTTGGTACTTCCTGCTAGATTTAATAAATGTGATGTGGTCACACTAAATCCTTTCACAAATCATTATTTATGTAGCGTACACGACTGGCGATTTGGTGGATCGCAGTAGTTTCACAAGGCGCAAGTACACTCAAAGGAGCACACCTCAACTTAGCTTATAGGTCGCGTGGGTGCGGCAAGCAGGCGCGTATCGACGTAAGAATACACGCGTTAGAATTCCCAGCGTCTTCTCTCTCGATCAAGGTCTATCTCTGCTCCGTTGGACGTGTTTGGTCCAGTGTGAGCCCCGAATAAACAATCTCTCCATCCTGCCACTAATTATGGGAGGCGAGTGCGTTCCGGATCATTGCCGCGAGTGTGGAAGCAAGGACGTCGTGACGGACTTCAGCGCGGGTGACGTCGTGTGCCGCGGCTGCGGCATGATCCTCGGTGAGCGCATTATAGATGATTCCCCCGAATGGCGAACATTTGCTAATGATGATCGGGGTGGTGACCCCGCTGCGAAATCCAGGGTCGGCGACGTCGCGGACGCGCGGCTGAACAGCCTCTCGCTGTCCACGTATCTGGTCGACCCGAAGAAGGGCGGCGGGGGCGCTGACGGCGAGCCGGGGCGCAAACACAAGCGCCCCAACATCTCGTCTGACAGCGCCAAGGTCAAGAGGATGCAGCGTAATATGGCGCGCATCCAAGAAGTTGCAGATTATTTGTCGCTGCCCAAGAAGATTGTGGAGATCGCGTTGGACGTATATGCTGAAGCGGAGAAGCAGGGCGTCAATATGCGAGGACCGGAACGAGAGAGTATGGCCGTCGCCGTGCTGTTTATCGCGTGTAGGAAGGCTGGCAATGCTCGATCATTGAAGGAGTTTGAAGAAGCTTCTGGAATCCCGAAGCGACGTATTGGCAAGTCGTTTATGAGCTTGCAGCGCCGCTTGGATCTCGAAGTTAAACAAGCAACGACGGAGGAATACGTGCAGCGCTTCTGCTCGAGACTGGGGCTGCCAAACAAGACGCAGATGATAGCTCATACGGTGGCGAAGAAGGCAGATAGTCTCGATTTGTCCAATGGACAGCCGCCTGTTGCAGTGGCAGCGTCGGTGATCTACCTGGTGGCAGCTTACACGAACGCAAAGCGCTCGATCCAGGAGATTAGCGACGTAACGATGATTGGCGAGAAGAGCATGAAGAGAGTGTGCAAAGAGCTGAATAAGAGTCGCATGGTGCTTTTCGAAGGCGTGGTGATGACTTAGATCAAGACCTCGTAAGTAAACAGAAGAAGGACACACGCAGGTTCGTATATATTTAATGGGGGGACACACACCTCCTATTTGCATGGTAAGACAATCAAGAACTTGATCAGCTCTATCTGCTATTTGTTGCTTGTTCATTGCTGCATTTGACTGACTTCTGATGCTGTGCTGTTGTTGTAGCCTCTTCTTGCTGCTAGGTCGCGTTTAGATAGACATAGAGATAGACAATAGAAGAACTGGATGCGGCCTTGATGCACTACTGACTGTGGTGTAGGACTGCCGTTGTTGTACAGTACGTTGTAGTATGTTATTGACTTCCGACGCTTTTGCTTTTGGAAAACTGTGTTCTCGTCTCACTCATACACTAGCTGAGCGATTTCTATCCACGATGTATGTGTTCGTTGACATCTCTTGAGACTCCAGACGACGCCTCGGTACAGCAGCTCCTCGCGGTTGTTCAGTCGACGCAGCACCAGATCCATGTTGTCCGAGAGCTACATCGCATTAGTCCAAAGCTGTAAGTAGCGTCAATACAATGATACTCTTTGCAAGGGTACCTGTTTGGTGCATGGTTCCGAAAAGCAAAGCGACAGCCCACACGTTGTAAAGCACCACAGATATCCACACCCGTAGCATGGAAGGCACGGGAAATAGTCTTCCACAGTCTGATTGAGCACGTCCACGCAGAATTTGAACTCTCTCCGTGAAACTGCAAGCAATGACATCCAATACACAATGCACCACAAACGTAAGCTCTACTCGTAACAAACTAATGCTTCGCAAACGATGAATATCGGATCTTTGTCGCTTACTGATCCCGTCTAGTGCTGTCGGAAACACGTCATCGTATGAGGACGAATAGCCACTCACTGTCTTCATGCCGGTCGCCTCTAACCTGGCCAACACTACGAGGTTGTGGCCGTCCCCGGGCACGAGCCGCTCCGTGGACATTCGCCACAGTGTTTGTCACTAGGCGCGGTCGATGCCAATCAAACGAGCGGATACCAATGCAGCGAATCTTTTCGCCAACTATAGATAGGCTTTCCTATTCTATTGTTCATGAGCTAACGACTGCTCACAAGAAGATCGGCTTGAAAGGTTGCAAAGCAATTGAGATCAAATATACCAATATTTGTGCTTTTAGTCTAGCACTAAATACTTATAAAAGTACCCTTCAGAAGACAAACCCTTCCCAAATTGATCACTCAATGATCGTAATAGCCAGGGAGAGACTCTTTTCTCGAATGTCCGACGTTCTTCCGTCAAAAGTAAGAAACCCGAGCAGAGCCACCGCCTAGTCGTCGCGCATCCTGCTCCATTGTCTCCGTCTCTCTGCACTCCACCAGCCATGTCCACCGCCGCACGCCGACGATTAATGCGCGACTTCCGCAAGCTTCAGAACGACCCGCCGTCGGGCGTGTCAGGCGCCCCCATGGACAACAATATCATGCTCTGGCAGGCCGTCATCTTCGGGTACGACCTTCATTTTCCCAGCTTTAATTCTGTTCATCTCATTGATTATATTCATTACGACAGACCGGATGACACGCCCTGGGAAGGCGGCACCTTCAACCTGACGCTTGAATTCAGCGAAGACTACCCTAACAAGGCGCCGACTGTCAAGTTCATTACGAAAATGTTCCACCCCAACAGTACGCGAACTTAAGTTGCTTCATTTCGTGCTCCTATAATTTGCTGTTATGACTGACTAAGAGCATTTATTTCTGTTGCTACAGTCTACAACGACGGCCAGATCTGCTTGGACATCCTGCAGAACCAGTGGTCTCCGATATACGACATCTCGGCCATCCTCACGTCCATCCAGTCGCTGCTGTGCGATCCCAACCCGAACTCGCCCGCCAACTCGGAGGCCGCTCGCCTGTTCCAGGAGAACCGACGGGAGTACAATCGCCGCGTGCGCGAGATCGTCGAGCAGAGCTGGCAGGCCATCGCATAAAAAGCTCGCTCGTCGGACTCGCCGCAGCGTTGTATGGCACTGCACAGCCTCTTCTCCACTGCTTGGGATCTTGCGTGCTCGTCATTTCTTGTTAATGCGTTCTCTCTCTTCCTTTTTACTCCCGCTCCAAGCCGACTACATAGACCCAAAAGCAAAGATTGCGTCGTGCAGATCACGAGCGATGATGTCAGAGGATGAGCAGTAAGATAAAACAGAGCAGTGCAGTAGCAATGGAAAGAAGACCAGGAAAGACAATGAACTAGGCCACGAGGAACTAAAACTGAAGAGAAATACTCTGTTGCAAGCTGTTCCTTGTTGTTTCTGTTAGCTAGCAAACGGAGCTACTGCAGCTTCCTCTACGCTCTCAAGCAATTGGTTAGACTGGGCTTGAACTGGATTAAAGCGTGGCTTGATTGCAGGCGCCTTGACGGACCCTGACGCAGCAGCAGAGGCTGCAGCAGCACCGAAGGAAGACAGTTGAATATCGCATCCCAAGTCACGTAGAGCAGCGTAGGCTTCGTCACCACAGCCGCGATACTGCTGAGCGTCGCGAAGCAATGGCTCGATCGCTGGTTCATCGTGCAAGAATCTCGAACGTAACTCCACACTACGAGCCACCATGTTCCGTACTGCTAGACTCGCTTGGCGGAGCACAGCCACGTCACGGTGATGAGCCTGCATGGCTCGCGCGATTCGTCGAATAGCCCCGAGCTCGACTAGTGCACGACTATTCTCTGGAGAGCGCAGCGCAATAGCAGCCAGCGTTGCGCACGCGTTTTGTTGGATGGATGCGTCGGCTTCATGGCGCCGCATGACCAGCAAAGTCCGTTCGACACCTCCAGACTGAAGAATCGCGCGCTTTAGATCATCCGCAGCCGCCACGTTCCTGAAAACTGTAATACAGCGTTTGGCTACGGGAGCGCTGTGCTCATACGCTTGCATGACGTCTTGTACAATGGTTAACCCATCTAGATCGGCGATCTGTTGGCAGTTTTCCTCAGTTACAGCGAGCTGCTTAAGTACTGCAAGCCAGTTAACGAGCAGATCCGGTGATGTCTGTGTTGCATCAGTGCATCGTACTTGGCGCAGCACATCTAAGCTGTACGAAATCACATTACGCTCAACGAGAGCCTTGATGGTATCTTGCGCCTGCGAGAACGTCGCTCGTGGATCGTCGTTGATAGTCAATACTCGAAAGCATAGCGCCAATTGCTTCGACAGCACCTCGTTAGCCTTTGCGCTCTCTAAATACCTGCATATAGCTTCAATGCCACCTGATTTTGTAAAGTGCGCTTTGTTGTTCTCGTGCTTGACACAAGCTGCTTTCACTAGCGCTAGTACACGTGCTGCACTCTCTGGATCTTCCCGTTGTCGCTTCAACACCTCTACAAGTCGCTGCATTCCTGTGACCCCTACAAAGTCCTGGTTATCGATATTGTCGGTACACAGCAACACTAGTAAATTGCTGCAAGAGGTCACTATAGCGGTGGAATTGCAATCAAACAAAGCCAGCAGTGTATCCGCGGCATCGTTCCGTCCTGCCACCACACGAGCCTCTGGGACCTCCTCACACACGCTCTGCAACTCCGCAACGAGGCTTAGCATTCGATTGTGCTCGCTTTCAAGCTTCACGATCTTCTGCAGCTCCGAAATCAGCCGCTTTAGCCGCACAGGCAGAGGCTCGTGTCCGTCAGCCGTCTGTGCCACGCCGCTCTTAATGATATTGGATAGATCCACTCCCTGAGACTCAAACTGCTGCACGGTGTCGGCCACCGCTTCCTCCAGCGACATGTCAAAGTCCTCCACATTCTCGGCCACGCACTCGTCGAACGTCTCCTGCGAAATCTGCTTGCGCGCAATGGTCGCCATGTTGATTGCCTGCAAATCGAAAAATGACAAGTACTTCGAAGTAAATTGCAATTTCTAAAGTAAGAAACTGGATTTGATACGACAAAAGTTGCATTTACACAAGATCGCAGAGCATAATGACGGACTCTACCGACGAGCTGCTGGTCGAAGGCGTGGAGGCTCTAGAGAAATATCTCGACGACCACGAGGTGGCAAATGCTAAGCTCAAGCAAGTGCGTCTTTGTTGCAGCAACCATGCGGATCTAGAGTTATATTGACGTTGCCTGGAACAGGGGTTTCTGATGCTGACGAAGGCCAAGCTGCGGCTACCAGAGCACGCACTGACGGAGATCTCGTATCACGAGGAGTTTGTGGCGTCTCGGGTAGTGGCTCTGGATTCTGGTGGAAACTGGCGCATACAGGATGCCTCTGAGGAGACAGTACAGGAGAGGAGTAGCGGCGACTCAATACGCCATCGGAGAGCAGCCAAGAACTGTCAGGAAGAGCCAAGAAACACAAATGTTGGAATGAACACGGACACATTGCTATGGTTCAGCTCGTTACCGCCCAGTGATCTTCGTCTGGCGCAAAAGCAGTTCTCGAACGGTACGCTACTATTTGGCTTATTTGCATGCAAGGGTTTCATTTTATTCATTTGCTGACTTATCTTACAGGGCTGCAAGCATTGTTAGTGGCAGCAGCATCCGCGCATAAAGTTCAGCGAGCTGTGTACGGAGTTACTAGCACTCGTCCTTAAGACAACTCAATGGCTAAGAGTTTCAAGGTTATTGCTTATGCGGACACGAGGAGGCTCTATCTTGGTGCCACTCGCGACGTATTCGCTTACACCGATTGCCGCTGGTCGAACCGGCCCGGTTTTCGACTGAACATGTTGGCAACACGCTCCTTCACCTTGTCCATGGCCATATCGAGTCTAATACCTTGTTCTTTAATGAAGGACACGTTCATCTCTTTCCCAGTGTATCCGCGCTGCAAGTTGCGGCGGATGAAGGTGTCATACTCAGCGACAATTCGTATGATCAGGTCTGATGTCGAGATACCATCAGTGCGTCGGGTCTCGAGGAACTTGCCCATGGCTTTGATTCGCGCATACACATCTCCCTCAGCTGACTCGCCCGACGTGTCCGAGTACGGCAGTGCGTCATGACACACGTAGTCGATTTTGTGTTTCTCGAGGAAAGCATCGTTGATGACCCAAGGAGCGTCCTCAACCACTTCGTCCACCCACTTGCAGTGACGTAGCGACTCGTAGCGCTCCTTGTCCGTCATAACTGTGCGGCCTTTGAGTCTGTGCGTGACCTCGTCATTGCAGCAGCCAACCAGCAAGTACGTGTTCGGATAGGTTTCTTTGCATTGCTGCAGAGCCTTGGCATGTCCAAAGTGGAAGAGATCGAAGATGCCATCAGCATATAGACGCAGAGGGCGGCCAGTGAGTGTGCCGGGTTCGCCTTCTTGCAGAGTCTTGCGAAACGGAGCGGAGCTGGTTGAGTCGGTGCTTGTGCCACTAGAAGCGTCGATGCTCAAAGGCTTGTCGATACTAAGCTCTTGCTCGGGTTCGTTGTTCATGTTCTGCAAGGTATTCAAAACAGTGAAAATTAGTGCTAATTCGAAGACACGAAACCAAGGTTGCGTCGGCCTACCGGAGCCATGTTCGAGTGTAGTTCTTGGGCTTGTTTGTTGCAGAGAGAAAGCTAGAATGACTGAGGGATACCTCCTTCAGCACCGCGGCAGCACCTCAGATGGTGGGGTTCGCCTCCTCAGCGACATACCTCATTCAGTTACGCATTGCCGTTGGTGGGTGGCAGAGGACGGCTGCGATGCTCTCGATGAGGACGAGCACCAAAAAAAAATGAAGCACTTCAACATTGGTGTGGGTCACATGATGCACCATCACTCCTAAGTTCGCACTCTCGTACTTTGCTCTCGATTTTTTTTTCCAACTGCGATGACGATCGACCACGTCATGCAGCCCGGCGAGGACAGCGTACTGGTGGCGCGGCTTGCGAGCCGCCATTTCCGACCTGGGAGCGTCGTCAAGGGAGTCGTGCGTCTCGCGAGTCACCAGCAGAAGCCCGACGCTCACTCGGAGATTGCCCACGTGGTGGCCCAAGTTCATGGCCACGTCACAGTGGACAGCAACCTGCTGACACTACCGGTCATGGACTTGGAGCGAAGCCCCTCGGAGGACGACAGGATGGGTGCAGAGTTGCCCGATGTACTTAAATTCCCAGGCGACACGGGCACGTGCATCTACCGCTCGGCACCATCCGTGCTGCTGTCGGATATCAACATCGCACCGACTCAGTCCGAGCTTGAAGCAGCCGCTGCAAAGAGTCATGGAGCTGTTGATCCTGTAGCTGAGGCTGCCCAAGAGGAGACAGCGGAGCGCTGCACACGGGAGTTCGCCATTGCGTTGCCAAAGAGTATCTGCCCCACATTCCGCGGCTCGTCCGCGAGAGTCTTTTATGTGGTCTCCATCACGGCGCAATGTGCAATTGCCGGGAGCAAGCCTGTGTCAGTGCATTTGCCGTTTGAGGTGTATGGCTCGGAGTATGTTTTCGAGGCCGGCACCGTGGCTAGTGCAAGCCACATCGCTGCGAGTCAGCAAAAGAGCGATGACAGTGCTGCGTCTGGGGATAAGAGTGCTGAGACCACGCCCAAGAAGCAGCAGGTAGTGGGTGGAATTACTCGCGCTGGACGGAGTATATCGTTGGCACCGGCACCTGTCGGCGTGCGTACGGGTAGTGAGATTGCGTTCGAGCTGCGTCCTTCACTCATGCACGGCCGAGTGGAAACGGAACAGATGCAGCGCGCACAGACGAGCATTTTCACGATTGGCAAGGACAGTAGCCATCTCGTGCGCTTCCTGCTGACAAAGCAGTTCTACCAGCCAGGTGAGGTACTGCTTGGTGTATTTGACTTCACTCGCGCCAGTATCCCGTGCTACGAGGTCTCGGCTACGCTGTGTCTAGAGGAGACGCTTTCGTCTATGGCGCTGGATCCCGACCGCGTTGTGCAGTCCAAGGTATTCAGCAGCTTCCACGAGCGCACGCTGGGTGTACTGCAAACGAACGTGCGCTTCAGTATCCCGCACGACGCGCTGCCGACCATCAAAACGGACCTGGTGCGCTTCCAGTGGTTACTGCAGTTCGAGTTTTCTGCTGGAGCACCCCCACAAAAGGGAAGCAGCGATGCTCCGGTAGAGCAGCAGCGACAAACGTTCCAGTGGCAAGTGCCGATCGTCGTACAGCCTGCGGTGGCTACAGAGCGCAATCAGCTCGCCAATGTGCCGCACAAGCTCTACTTCGGTAGCACTCGTGTGGCATCGCTGTCGGGTGCCTGATTAACTACGCTACCCTATTAACAAGCGTATACCCCCTTTTTGTTATGTGAATACTTGGCTCAAGACGATTCTTTAAACAGCTTGCCGACCTTTGTCTTATCATATCCTAGGAAAGAGCATTTCATGATGTTGAAGTGGCTGATGGTGACGCGTCACATTTGCAAACGGACATAAACTGACTGAAATTGGTACTTTCCGTACTTAATCGCACAAAGTACGAGGACTTAATTTTTGCTTCGGTGTCACAACAGTTTTCGACGAACAGCAACAGAAGAGCAAAGATGGCGAGAAAGGTGCGCTCTTCCCCATAGCCTTGCGCGATTCCTCGCGTCCTAGTGCGATGTCGAGTCTCCTCCGCTGCAAATGTTGCAAAATTTGCAGCGGAGATACTCCTACATTTTTATATTTAAAGTTGAAGAATGACTGAGGGGGCCGTTTGATATGTAGAGACGTGCCAACGAGATGAACAACGCCGAGGAGGCCGAGGCCGACCACCACTCACCTGCCGCTGAGGAGACGAAGCCGACGAATGAGGAGCCGAAGGAGGCTAACGATAACAGCAGCGTCAGCAGCCAGGAGGGGTCAACTGAGCCGCAGCCGGAGCCTTATCGCAAGAAACTGAAAGAGGGCGAGCCGGGTACCCTCACTGGCCGCCCCCTGCGTCTGTATGCCGACGGTATCTTCGATCTCTTCCACTTTGGTCATGCCAAGGCTCTGCAGCAATGCAAGGAAGCCTACCCGAACACGTATCTGCTGGTTGGATGCTGCAGTGACGAGATTACGCACAAACTCAAAGGCCGTACCGTCATGACGGACAAGGAACGCTATGAATCACTTCGTCACTGTAAGTGGGTGGACGAGGTGGTGGAAGACGCACCCTGGGTACTCTCGGATGAGTTCCTGGAGAAGCACAAGATCGATTACGTGTGCCACGACGCACTGCCGTACTCGGACGCTTCGGGTGAGGCATCGGAGGGCGATGTGTACGCTCGTATTAAGGCGATGGGCAAATTCTTGGAGACTCGGCGTACGGATGGCATCTCTACGTCGGATCTGATTATCCGGATCATCGCCGAATACGACACGTTCATTCGTCGTAACCTGGCGCGTGGATACTCGGGCAAGGACATGAACGTCCCGTTCATCAAGGAGAAGAGCATCAAGTTTGATATGGCAGTAGATAAGGTGCGCAACGACGTCGACGGCTTCGTGCACAAGTGGATGAACAAGGCCGATGAGATGCAGCACAACTTCCTGGAGCTGTTCAGCAAAGAAGGCCGTCTGGTAAGTTTCAAGCATCGTTGTCGATGTTGACAGCCTTATTAACAGCGTTGTCTTCTGTGCTCTTGTTGCTATATAGCGCACATCGTTCCGCAAACGCCGAAAGATCATCAAGGAGCGATTGTCGGAGCGTATGTCGGAGATGGCGCGTGAAGGGCTGTGCTAAATGAAGCTGCTGTTGGTGTTCTCAAGCCCCTCTTGCTTAGACTTGAGGTGGTAAAAGAGAAAATCAGGTTCAGGTCTTTATCTTTGAATTGTGCATCTTGGTTTCTATGGTGATTGAATCATTAACTGAGCAATGAATGGTATTTCGCTTATGTGTACCCGTGTTGTTTCATCCCGTGCGTCGCCACGTTCAGCACGACGCGCACTTTGCCTGCAGATGTGACTCGTGTAACCTCGCGGCTATCACTTTGGGCTACGAACTTGGAGTCGAAGTATTCGGGTGGGGAACCCGTTAACCACGCTATAAACTGCTGTATCCGTGACGACGACATTGGCCGAAATAGCGGCACCTCACGCACAGAGCAGCCAGGTGACACTGGGAACGCGACGGAGCCGTAGCCCCGTACCACGTCGCGACCCAGTGCGTCGAGTCCATACAGACTAAGTACCAAGCGAGGCCAGCCGAATGGGTTGGTACTTTTGAATGATACATCGATAGGGAAGTTGAGCAGGATTTCGTCTTCGTTGCTGGCTAGATACGCAATCTGCGAGAGTCCGTTCTCAGCTCCCTGTAGCCCAAATGCTCGCGGTAAGTTCCTTTAGTAGTGACAACGGTACTGTAATAGGGACATACATGAAGTACGCGCCAGTCAACGCCGTAGGTTATGGTATAACGGCAGTACACATTCGTAACACCTGGATACTACTAGCGGGAATAGTTTAGATATTACGCTTGAGTGGATCATTCGCTTTATTAACGTACATGTACCCTCTCCACTTGGCCTGAGCAGATGACCTGGAATCCAGCGGCAGGCTGCGCCATTTGCATGGACGTTGGCATAGGTGTCACCGTCGCTGGAGCATCACCATGTTTTCCAGCTATACTCCCAGCCTTCCTCAGCCGTAGTCGCTCCAATGCTTTGGCCACCGCGTCGTCGGCAGCGGTTGCCATCTTGAAGTGTGTCGCTTCAGATCATAGCGCAACATCACCAACTTATGTTGCTTAAAGCAACTTAAACCACTAACCCCCCAAAATCAAGGCCGACCACCAAAGCGCCGAGTGATGGCAGATCGGGCGGAGTCGGCGGACGAACGCGCGCTGCGCCGCGAGCTACAGGAACTAGCCAAGAAGCGAGAGGTGCTCGACAGCTCCAGTACGTCCAGCAGTATATGTCTCTGTTTTTACGCGGGCTTTAGTCGCTGTAGCTGCTCACTAAGCCACATGTTGCGTTGCGATCTTTCATCTAATTACTCGTCTGCGCTTTCCTCCAATCTACAGAGCGTCGAGGAAGTGGAACATCATCGAAAAGCGTAGCAGGTCGGCGTAACGTACTTGCACGACTCGGTGGCGAGCCCACACGGGCAGGAGGCGGCCGACACGTTGTTCAGCTGAAGGAAAACAGTCGGGGTAACGCCTCGAGGAGACCGGGAAAACGCGATAGCGAGGACAACAATCAGAATAATGCCGCGAAAAGACAGAGACTGCATTCCGCAGTAACGAGGCCGGAGGGTGCTCATCACGAAGAGAAAGCAGAGACTAGCAGAGCTTCCACTTCAGCTGCTTCTCCCTCTGCAAACAGCGCTCGTACACAGGAGAGGAAGCAACGCGCTGTGGCGCCGTATGCACAGAAGGAAGGCATTGCACGTAGTAGACGCATGTTTGGCGCATTGATGGGCCATCTAGGCAAGGCAAAGCGGCAGATTGAGAAGGATACCGACTTGTTTAAGCGCCAAGACACGAAGCAGCATGAAGCTGAGCAAAGAGAGAAGTTGCAGAGCCAGAACCTTGAAATCCAGGCTCGTCATGAAGCTGAGGTGGCTCGATTGGAGGCGCTTATAGTGCGAACTGAGCTTGATAGAAGCGAACAGATAGCACGGGCCAAACTAGAGCACTTGCAGATGCTCCGGAAGAGCGAGAGCCAATCCAAGTTCTTGGTTACTATTGCATCTCCGCCGATCTATTACCTTCCAGCAAAGCACACGAAGGAGACCAAGGAGCTGGTTGCTGCGTCGATGGAAGCTCATGAAGCCAAGATGAAAGCGAGTGTCCAGACTCACGAGGAAAAGCTACGGAAGCTGGAAGCGGAGTTTGTGACGAAGTTGGAGAAGCTCCGTGAAGATTTAGACGGTTTACGCGAGGCTGAGAAGGAGAGGGCAACAGAGAAACGGGTGAAGAAGGATGATGTGGTGGATGAAGACATGGATCATGTCAGCAAAGAACCCGAGGAGGATAGGAAGGAGGGGGATGACAGTGACGAGGAGATGTCCAATGGCTCACGTAAAGATTCGACTATGGAAGTTGAAAACGAGGACGTGTCTGAAGAACATGATGCTACTGAAGCAAGGAGGAGTGATGATGGAGAAAATAATAACAAATCTGCAGACACGGAGGTTAAAGGAGAGAAGGGTTCATTTCCACGCAAAACATTGAACGGCGCCAAAGTGGCTCGCAGCGATACAGAGACTTCATCTCCCAGTCGAGTGAAGGAGGATGAGAAAACGGTAGAGCAGATAAAGGAGAAATCAGAGCGCCCGGAACAGAGCGAAGAGGCTGCTGTTACGAAGGAGAGCGCGTCAAATGGTGACAGTGCGAAGATGGAGAATAATAACGTCAATGCTGAAGCACATGCTGAGTTGAAGGAGGACCCGGCGGTCGATATCGACAAGATGAAGGTGACCGAGCTGCGAGCGGAGCTCAAAAAGCGCGGGCTCGACACCAAGGGGCTCAAGGCCAAACTCGTGCAGCGACTCAAGCAGGCGATGCATGGAGACGACGAATCCAAGTAGTTTCGTATTTATGCTGGGCATACACGACAATACACCAGACTTTGATACCTGCACGCAATCAACGCTGTCTTGCCTCTCACAAAATGCTAAAACTTGAAAAAAAAAAATTGGTGAACATCAAATTATGTGATTATAGAGGGTTGAAACACTGTTGTACGAATGTATCTTGAATGACTCCTTGCTGCAACCTTCGCACAACCTTTGCGGGCAGTTGCGCGATGATGCGTCGCCGTTGAGGCTTGGGCTTCACGTGGATTTGTATGTGCCTCTTTGTACTAGAGAGAAGCTCAGCTAGAAGAGAAGCATACCCAAGCAGCCCTCGCCAGCGCCATTGCGAGTACGTGACGCCATCGTTTGCATCCCCTCCATCTCCATCGCGAAACAGACCGACCAGCGCAGTAGATAACGACCGGGAGTTCCGTCTTCTCGAGCGGGAAGAGAGAGTACGTAGCAGCGACCAGATCAGCCTCGTCGTCCTCAGGCACCATGGGCAGCGCCAGCAGTAAAGCAGGCGACGCCAACCCCAAGAACTTGGGCGCAGATCCGAACGACCCCAACGCGTTCCCGCTGCACCACCATCCGTACTACAATCAGGCACAACAGCAACAGGGTCGTAACTATGACGGTAGCAGTGAGGGTAAGAATCCGCAGCAGCCCTATTTTGCAGGCCAACACAATGCCACCGAGGCTATGGAGGTAGATCCGCCCACAGAGACCTCTTCAGAGGTATCTTACGCAGACGGAGAGATGGCTACAGCGCAGATGGATGTAAAAGGCGGCGAGAACGGCAAGGGGAACAATGCACAGACTGCGGACGTCACAGTGCCGCCTGGGGAGGACGTCGTGCCCATGGTGTTCAAATGGGAACACGGCGGCCGCAACGTGTTCATCACTGGCACATTCAACGGGTGGGACAAGCAGTGTCCCATGCACCGATCCGGCAACGATTTCACCTACATCGCCAACCTCACGCGGGGGAAGCACATGTACAAGTTTGTGGTGGACGACGACTGGCGGTTCGCACCCGACCAGCTCACAATGGCAGATGTGGAAGGCAACGTAAATAACTATGTGGATGTATCGGACTTTGCGCCGCTCTCCGACTTTGATGGTAAGAACAAGCAGGACGACGACGAAGACCCCGAGAACCCGTACTCACGGTACATCCCCGAGATCGACGAGTACACGAAGGAGCCACCTCCGCTTCCACCTCACTTACGGCACATTATTTTGAATAAGGTATGATAGGCACGTTGACTTTGTTAGGGGTTTCTGCCTGATCCTAACTCACGTGTTTTTGCGTCTTGTAGGCACCGCCGACCGTCGATGGTCGATTGCTGCCTGTGCCTCAGCACGTGGCGCTCAACCATCTATACTGCACAGCAATCAAGGACGGCATGATGGTGCTGGGCATCACCAACCGCTACAAGCAGAAGTTCGTGACTACCGTTTATTATAGCCTCATGCCCGGCGCCAATTAGGGCTCTTGGTGGCAAACTCAGGTAGAAAGAACAAATGGGAGGAAGCTCGAAGCACAGTCGTGAATGATCCAAGTGTTGGACGCGGCGTGGGGCATGCAGTGCGCGTGCCTTGCTTCAGCTTCTGTAGGAAGTAGACACTCTTTTTTTGGTAATGGAGCTGCTCGCGATGGTCGTAAGCGAGCGGCCAGGGCATGGCCAACCTAGGAATGGCGAAGTCCTAAAGCAATGACAAGCGAACACACTATCTTCGCCTTTCCGAGCCATCACCACAACTCCTACGACGCATGATAAACACAGTCACACTCGAGCGCAAAAACAATAAACATATTTTTGTTTTTTTTTCTTCCTCTGCAGTGCTTGCGCCAGGGCATTCAATATGAACTGGGTCGTGTTGCTCCCGCTCTTGTCCATCAAAACTGCTTGCTTCCGTCTTCTATCGTTGGAAAGAGCTTCAGTCCGAGCCTTGGACACAGACTGCAGCTGTTGTTATCTGTTTATACGTAGATCTCGGCCCATAGAAAGAGGAAAAGAGAGCCGAAGCCCAGCAGCAAAGCGGCAATAAAGGCCAATACCAGCTCCACGATCGCGTTCTTCTTGGGGGCCACGGCACGCGTGAAGAAGAGCGCCATGAAGACCAACCCTGTCAGCAGGAGCGCGACCGTCAGGAAGCCATAGCTCTCCGGGTCCACAGGGCTCGCATACGGGATTTCCTGCAGCACACAGACACAGTAGAAATCATTAGTATCTGCAGACTATACTCAAGCGAGCACAGTAGCAATCCACACGCGCACCATTTCCATCGTGGCGAAGTATCGAGATCTGCTTGGAGCTCTTGCTTGACTGACACGTATGAATACTTTCAAATTTTGTATAAGATACGGGAGATAAATTATAAACTTGGACAAACACCTTCAAGTTTTGTATAGAATATGAGAGGTAAACAATAAGCAGTGACAGATGCTAGATGGATACATTTCATAGGTGTCATGGATAGCTGCTCCGTTAACTCTTTGTCGCCTATAAGTCGGGATCGATATCCTCTGAATGCACTGCATTTACTGCTGCTGGCTGCATACTCTGCCGAAGTGAAGACTGAAGTGACGACTGGAGCGAAGACTGCAGCGTGAACGTCGGCTTGGCTGTCGCGAATGTGAACGTCGCGGGCTGCATGAACGCCGGCGATGGTTGTGGAGCTGTCTGTGGCTTCTGCTGCTCTTCATCGCCATTATCCAACACTGCAAAGACATTACTGCCACGGTATTCGGGCTGCATGGGCTTCGATTGACGCGAGTTTTGATTCGGGTTCACTGCTGGTGCATCCTTTGGAGCCTCCAGCGCCGACATGAAGCCATGAAAGCCTTCCACTTCGCGTGGCGCCGATGTTGGCTGCACAGGGTTTGAGTTGCTACAGGGATAGCAACAAAAAATTAGGATTCCATTGCACAAAAGTTAGCAAATTGGTTTCCAATAACCACTTACAACTGAAAGGTAGGAGCTGCCATCACGAATGACGGAGGAGCCACCGCAGCAGCTTTGGGCACAGCACCTGGCCTCGTGTTCTTGGCCGCCATACGCTCGTCAAAATTGCGGAACTCGTCGGATACAGGCGCAGGGCGCTTGGCCACCTTGGCCTTGCGCTTTTTACTCTGCGGATCGTTCTTGTCCGCTCCTACCATGCCAGTTCTGCAACGATAACAAAACACAGCAATAACACAGTCAGATACACGTGGCTACGATGATCTACACTGCAGGCCACTACTGCACACACCTCTTCTCCTGCTTCTTGAGCGACTTGAACATGCCACCTTTCTTGGGCTTGTTACTCTTGCCAGCATTGCCCTTGTGCTTCGATCCTGCGTCAACAGCCCCGCAACATGTCTGTTTAGTACAGTGCAATATGACGCTGCAAAACGATCCCTCGCAGTCGCGTACAGCCATCGTAACGACGCACCTCCACTCTTCTTGGCCATGGCTTTCGGAATGCCAATCGTCTGACCACATTGCGTGTATACACTTTATCCGAGTGTATACTTTTTGCTATTTCACATTTTTCGCTGATGGGCAGAGCCAGCAAGCGAGACGCCTCCTACACGCGACAACAGGGCTCCGGCAGCTACATCCTGCTAGCCCCCAAATCACAGAACACTAATGCTCCAAAGAGGACAGCGATAACGGGGGCTCGAGAGACTTCGACTGCACCTATTCGACAGGTCCAGCATTCGTCAGTTGCGCTAATAAGCTCAATGGAGGCAACGTTTCAAGAATTCAATAGGCAAGTGGCCATGACGCTACTGGGGCCACAACCAGTGCAGTCATCCAGTCGGATTGAAGAGTCTCAGCAGAGGAAACCTCGACCGGCACTGGCTCCTAAGTCCGTACATAAGCCTCGACCTGCAGTGACGCCCAAGCCCATACAGCAGCCTCGCCTGGGAGATAAGCGATTGCGAGAAGAGGACAGCACAAGAGCAGTGCAAGAGGAGAGAGACGACAAAAGCGCGCATATCCTGATGCCCAACTTAAGCAGAGCCAAATTACTCTGTCGTCTTTGTAGCAAACGCGGTCTTAAGACCCGATCACGCTACGGCTGTGTGCAGTGTCGTCTGGGCTTCCACGTCGAGTGTTTCGCTGTCTTCCACCACCCCGAGCGATACGTCACGAATCCATCTGAAAGTGTGCAAGACGCGCTGGATGTCATCAACGGCATTTCCAGATCAGCAACACGACGGCGCGAGAACAACTCCATCATGTCATTCGACCGGCTCACCCTGCCTACATCGTCTGACATTCAAGAAATTTAGAACCCTCTAAAAAAAAGTATCCATATCTGAATTCTAATAAAATTATCCGGCTATACACCATCTGGCAAAATCTCTTAACGCCGCCACTTCAGCATTCGAGCCAAAAACCACCAAGCAAGGACATTTCCCACTTCGTTGAGACGATGGCGGACCAGAGCATGAGCCTCATGGACGGCACGTACTTCGTGGGTCGTAAGGAGATCCTGGACTGGATCAACAATTTGTGCGCCATTAACTTGTCCAAAGTGGAGCAGACGTGCACGGGCGCTGTGGCCTGCCAGATCCTGGACGCCATGTATCCTGGCAAAGTGCAGATGAGCAAAGTGGACTGGGCGGCCAACAAAGACTACGAGTACATTCAGAACTACAAGGTACTACAGAAGGCCTTCATGCAACTTAAGATCGACAAGCACGTCGAGGTGGATCGCCTCGTACGTGGCAAATATCAGGACAATCTCGAGTTTATGCAGTGGTTCAAGGCCTTCTACGAGCGCAACGCCTCTGGCCAGCCCTACGACCCCATTACGCAGCGTGAGAAGGGCAAGGGCGGTGCGCAATTCACGCAAAAGTTCGGCGGGGGCGCTGGAGCCGCGTCATCCGCTCCAGCGGCGCCGCTACGTCGAAAAGTGGGCGCTACTACGACCTCCAGAGTCGGACGGACGCCGCCTGGAGCCCCAACAACTGCAGCTGCTACTCGCACTGCCAGAACGTCTACGGGAGCCACGCGTCGTCCCGTGGGAAGCGCTGGATCGACTGCAGCACCGTCTGAAGCGAACACGGAAGCGGCTGTTGCGGCCGCAACGGCGCCTTTGGAGAAGGAACTGGAGGAACTGACGGCCAACAACGAGGCGCTGACGAATGAGAGCGGCGAGCTGCGCGCGATGGTGGAAAGTCTGGAGAAAGAGCGCGATTTCTACTTCAATAAACTGCGCGAAGTGGAGATCATGCTGCAGTCGGCCGAAGATAACGAGACGAATCCGCTGGCACAGGCGATCTTCAAGGTGCTGTACGCCACGGAGGAAGGAGCCGAGGACGAACAAGTGGCGGGCGAGCCTCAAGACGAGCAGATGTAGACGAGCACCAGATTTCAGATGCTTCATAATGGAAAGCTACATTAAACAAGCACATAACTGGAAGGAAAGATCGACAAAGCGTAGGTTTGCATACAAATTGCCGGTAAAGACGCAAGGAATGAATACAGTACTACGTGCTATTTGAGCGGTAGGGCGTATATTGCCTATTCTGTACAGCTTTCAACCGCACGTAGGAGAGCTAGTAGTTAGCAGTGTCCGCCAGGGAGCACAGGCTCCTCCGTGATCAGGTCTTGAGCTGTCGGAGTCTCGGTCGCTGGTAGTACCGGTGGTACTGTAGCACTAGGTGACGGTGCTTTAGATGGTAGAGCGGTAGCGTGTGACGGTGTTTCAGTTGGTAGAGCGGTAGTTGGTGTCGCTGTCTGTATCGGAGGTAGAGTAGAAGGGATGGGGGTCTCGATTGGCGCTGCGGAGGTCGACGACGGAGTGATCGGATCTTGAGTTGTCGGCGTCTCGGTCGCGGGTACTGGAGCTTCTGTAGCAGTTGACGGTGCTTGAGTTGGTAGAGCGGTACTCGGTGTCAGTGTCGGTGTCGGAGGTAGAGTAGAAGGGATGGGGGTCTCGATTGGCGCTGCGGAGGTCGACGACGGAGCGGTGGCATCAGTTGGCAAAGGCGTCGAAGGCTCTGTAGTTGCTGGTGGTGTCGTAGTCGGCGTTAAGGTGGGAGCATCAGTCACAAACGTCGGCAGGGGCGTCGCAGTCGGCGTGGGAGCTGCGTGATCATGGGATACGTCGTTGGAGATTGTGTCGTTTGGATCGCAGATCATCTTGAGACCTGAACACTCTTGGTGTTCCAGAGGACACTCGTCAACTGGTAGTCTTGCAACACACAACATCCAGCACACATCCGCTTGAGTTGTGGTGCCAGTACAGTCACATTTCTTCTCGCATTTAGCATCAAAGAACTCGGTGTGATAATTACACGCCTGATGGCAGCCCACGGTGGGAGGTCTCTCCACTCCAGGCTTTAAAGTGCATATCGAGTACGTGCAGCTTCCTTCCGACTCGACTAAATGCCGCCCGCCAGCACAACCGATAGCCTTGAGGTCACTCGAGTCCCCATTCGATAACAAGTGACGCGTAGTCCGGTTGGTGAACTCGTCAAAGTCCATGTTTGTCTCGAGTAAACGTTGGTACGAAGGCAACAGCGTCATCTTCCCGAACCAGGCGCGAAGATTCCGTTGCTCTGGAGTGGCCCCCACCAGTTCTTCAGGCATTCGCATGCCGTGCATGACAGCCGGGAGATGGTGACTGGTTTCCAGCCAACGAGACACCCCGGTTCCCATCATGATGACGAGTTCATCCTCCTTTAAGTCTGGACGTACAATCTCATCCAGTTCGGTGGCTCCGATGACCAACCCAGAGGCGTCGGACTTCAGACGTCGCTCTTGAATGTTCCCGTTCTTAACGGAGAAGAACTTCGGTGCAGCCATCGCAATAAAGAGTCCGTGGTCTTCATGCATATCCAACGACAAGTCTCGCTCAATTTCTTGTGCTGAAAGAGACCGGGTAGAGCTTGACGCTGCAGCTTCGTAGGCGTGGAAATGGTCGAGGCGCTTAGCGTCGCCAATGAGTTTCCGTGCACTGATGGAGCGTTCGCCGTCGCCCATTCTGAACTCGGTCTGGTCTAAAGCTGAAGCGAACGTATCCACTGCGCGCTCTAACGTACCACTGAACTCTTCGTAGAGCTCACGATGACCAGGACAAATGGCCGCCATCGCATTGAGCGTCTCGGTGTCCGTATCAAAGAGTTCACGACCTGCAGCAGCTCGCAACGTGAGTCGACGAGTGCCATCGCGGAACTGCTTGGTGGACAGGTAACGCACGCTTTCGTCCGTATTTTCCGAAGCTACAGCGCACTGCACGGAACTAGTTAAGAACCGTTCGCGTACGTTGATGTAGTTCGGGATATTCTTGAGTGCGATGATGCCTCCACGTTCTAAAGCCTCAAGCATACGGCCCGGAGTACCTCCAGATTGCAGGGAAGTGTAGTCGAATGACGGGACGGTGAAGCTTGGAACGTCTTCAAGTGCAGCGTCAACGCGTACAGCAGCAAGTGCAGAACATGCAAGTGCGAGCTTGAGACCACAAAGCATGGCAAGAAGCTACTGGATTGGAGTGGAGGTTGTTGCTTGATGTGGTGGAATGCAAAATGGCAACTGGACGGCTGAGGTCATGGGTCGAGGCAGTAGGTGGATGTTATGTAAGCAACTCAGAAATGTCAACGAGTGGCAGTCACGCTGCAGCCTGCACTGCAGGTGCAGGGCTTCCTGCAGGGCTTGTCAAGGCATGTCATCGTCTTCTGACGGTGGGAGAAATGGCATCACAATCGCGGGAGCGTTGCAGTGCCTCGAACAGCAAAGGCAATTGTTGACTTGCCATGCGCTTCAACCTCAATCACCACGTCCGATACATCATCACTGCATTTGCTCAATTAATAGACTCAACGCCAACTTGACAAGGTACACGAATCTTTTGCTCACGTTGCTCGCATCTAACGAAGGTGTTGGATTCCCATTAAGTAAAGTATCCATGGTTTCCCGAAATTGTTGACTCGCAAAGGCAGATTCTGGTGAACAAGGCTTCGTGTTTTTACTAACATGCTCTCGTTAAGGCCGATACTGTGACGCTGTAGAAGTTTATGGTGACGAGAAGTTTCACATGAAGAGTCTTCAACGGTGAAACTGCTGAGACTTCTGGTGCTGAGTTTGTATTCTCAAAGGAGAACGAGTTTAAAGCAATGCCAAGCGAGAGCAAAGATCATAAGGACGAGAAGGCTGGAGAGAAACCCCATGCTGTTGCTTCAAGCGAATCGAAAGCTCAGCCAGAACAAGAGAAGGCGGGCGCTAAGGACGACGACGGGAGCGTAAACGCTGACAATAATGATCTGGTGAATAAAGTCATTTCTTTCTTCTTTGACAACGACGAGTTCGCACACACGTTCGAGACGTTTGCAGAGCATCATTGTCATGCATTCGATCTGGACAGCGACGAGATGAAGCTTGAGTGAGAATTATGCTCAGGTTCAGATTGTGAATTGTTCAAAACTAAATTTTGGGTATTTTGCAGATACACGGATATCTACAACGAGTTTCTCGCTCTCTTTGAAGAGAAGCTAGAAGGTAAGGTCGCCAGAATAATAGCAATCAGAATACGCAGCTAATCGATAGTTTTGGCAGCGTACATCCGATCCCAGGGGGCAACCGTGCACGAATTCTACGACATGGTTCGTCGAGCTTATGAGACCGACCGTCAGTCGGGAACTGTGCTTTGTTCAGAGATTCTCGTGGCCACTGCAGACTTCGACGTGTTCGTGTTGATGATGCGCCAAACCAAGGAGGCCTCGCTGCTGGCTAAGCGCTAAAGCCTGGTGCTGATTTCAGGATTTAATCCAAGCAAAATAATTAAACCAAAGGTTTCCAAAATTCATCGCGCAGCCATGGTCTGCTTCCGTAGTCGCTCAACCAACGAAGGTAATTTCACCTTTGGCTTCTTCTTAGTGTTGGTTGTTGACGACCACGATATCATGTTCGTAGCTTGTTGACGTCCTTGTGAAGTCTGTAATCTGCTCTGACTGTTACTAGAATTTCCATTCTGATTCGAGACATTCTGGTTGCTGGTCTTGCGGTTAAGTAGCTTTTGTACTCGATATACAGGGTCTTGCTGACGTTGACGCTCCTGTCTAGAGTTTTGCTGGCGCTGCTTGACACGCTTCATCTTGTTCCAAAGTGTTGCCGCCAAGTTCTGTTCCTTGGGAGGATTTGAAACGATTTCAGGTTTGGCGCGTTCCAAATATTTATCATTCTCCAGATCCACCACGTCATGGTTATCCACATGAATGAATCGCTCTTCTTTAAGCTCAATTCGCTGTAATACCGATGAAGACTCTCTCTGAGCTAGGACGGATGAGGGTGGCAGCATGGGATCTTCCCAACCATCTACGAGTTCGGGTGGTAGCTGAATTAGATCATCTAAATCTACACCATCAAAAGAATCGCCGTCGTCGTTCTTCTCCACCACTTGCGCGAGCGCTAGAGCGTTTGCGAACTTTCGACGTACATGGAAACCACGAAATGTTGATTGTAAACGACGTGCAGCTTCTTGAGTTTCCATTGTCACGAACATCTCTGTTTCCAATTCCTTGTCATCATCCTCTTCTTCAATTTGAGGCTCTTCGGTATCACTAAAATCTTCAAGAACCAGTGGAGGTTCAGGAATGATATGTTGCAGCTTTTGTCGACACGATCGATGCCATATCTGAATCCTCTTTGCCGCATTCTCTACAGTCTCAGATCGTATTCGGTCCTCTTCAGTTTTCTGCTTGTACCAATTTTTCCACTTGGTAAGGATCTCCATCAACTGATGTCTCTCGAATACTCGACAAAGCCCTTGAAAACCTGTCGATGCATTACTCAAGATCCGTAATCTATGCACCTCTCGTTCCTTTGCTTGTGCTTCTTCTAACTCTACCAGATAACTCCACCCACAGCGACAACGTTCTTCTTCTTTTTCCATGGCAAGACGAGAATTCTCCTCATTCTGCATCTCTATGAACATTAAATGATCACTATATGCCCATGCGGAACGAGAATGTTTCTCTTCTTGTTGCATATATTCACGATCGCGTCGTTCTCGTAATCGCTCTTCAATATCCAGTGTCCGCCTTCGATCTTGATCTTCTACAGCTTTTGCCAGTTTATCTTCATCAATCATCAGAACGCGATTCATTTCGCGCTCTTTCTGCTCACGAAGTGCACGATTCTCTGCAATAATTCGCCTCGTATACGCTTCTTCAGCTCGCAGTTGTACGCACTCACGGCGTTCGCGTTTCGTTTGTTGATCTCGGATTTGACGTTGATTTTCGTGATATTTCGCCAGATCCAGTAGAACAACAGCAAAACGACACCGAGCCGTAGATTCTTGCTTCTGCAAGTAAAGCTGCCGTTTAACTTTCATTCGATGTCGTTCGGCTTGATCCTCAGCTTCCATTTGACGTATCTCCTTGTGTGTTCTAGTCAACTCAGCAGCAACTTTGTGAGAATCTTCGTCAGCGTTTGCCGTAAGCTTAGTTTCCTGAGCTTCACGCTCTGCAGCAAGAAATTGTCGACAGAAGGTCTCTTCCATAGCCATATATGATCGTTCTTGAGCTTCCTGACGAGAAATCGCAGCGTCTCTCTCTTGAGTCTCGATTTCCTCCTGAAGTCGAGCCAGTAGTTGAGCTGCTTCTCCTTGTTCCTTCTCGTGTCGAGCTTGGGCTTTCAGACGTCGCAGTTCTCGAGCTTCATGCTGCTTTGCAATTGCTTCGAGTTGTTTCTGTTTAGCTTCGTGCTGTGCAAATTGGTTTTCTTCGGGAGTCACGGTAGGATGCACATCAGGCAACGGTGAAGCCTGGTTGGGGTGGTCCGATGCAATTAGTAGGGAATTTGGCTCGACCAGAGTCGACTCAGTAAGTTCTGGATTCAGCTTGTTATTATCGAAATCGGCAGTGATAGTCTTCGCTTTTTCTGTGCTTGTTCTTTCCCGCTTGACTTCGTCATTCTTTTTAACCGAGCTCACGTGCTGTTCATTCTCATCAACAGAATGTGGCAATGTAGACTCCTCTGGCTGCGAAATAGCGAGTTCAAGACTTGGCTGACCTGCTTCTTTGTCCGATAAGCGCGTGTGATTCTTTATTCCAATAATCGGTTGCTGGTCTTGTTGCTGCTCTGGAGTACTTACATCCAAAATCGACGTACGGATTTCGTCTATGATTTCTCGACATGGTTGAAAAAACTCGCGGTCACTGCGCTCAACACTTTGCAGCAAAAGTTTCCAAGACACAGGTGCAATTTGTTGCTCTTCGCTTTCGGTCATTTGCTTCAACACGTTATCCAGATCTAAACGCACGTAGTCGACCTCATTTTCTCCATTACATTCGGCAAAGTCGTCGTTCTGGTCATCATCACTATTCCAGCTTTCGTCAAACCCAACATCCCGAGCAGATAATGCGGCCAGTTCTGCTGCCAACTCTAGTTCGAGCGCCCTCCGTTCTTCATCGTCTTCATCACCTTGACTGGATGCCGCCATTTCCTTCAGATTAATCCCCAATAATGGTGACAATCTCAATTCCAAGACACTCGACGATGCGTAATTCTCATAACAATTCTCAAGTTTGTACGGAACGTCTCTATTTTTACTAAATCGCTTTTCTCATAAATAACGTTTCATATACTCTATCTAACCTTTCACTCTTCCTCATCACTCTCGTCAGAGGGGACTGTGGCATCACCGACTGTAGCCACGAAGCCTTCTCGAGAACACAGCGCAATTGTGATAGCGTGAAACCCATCACAAGTGATAAAATTCTCTTGCAAGTTCAAAGTCCGCAGTCCCGCAAGCCCCAGCACATTAAACTGTTCTTCAGACGAAATTTTACAATCGTCGTACAAATTCTCTTCTGGCATAGGATCGTCGAGCAAATCTGCGAGTGCAAATGCGTCCGTGTCGGTTAAAATGTTGCGGCTTAGGTCCAGTGTCTGGAGTTCACTGAACGATTCGATGGCTTCCAGTAGTGCACGGCAACCTGATTCACCCATGAAGTTATTGCGCACTGTAAGAGTCTCCAAGTGCTCAAAAATTGTGTCTTTGGTCTCGAATAACTCGGCGAGTTGCTGGATACCATGGTCACCGAGGAACGTTGCGTCAAGCACCAAATATTTCAACGGGTTCCTCAGTGCATTTAGCACCATGAACACCGCGTCACTCTCAGTTGCAAAGTCGAACGGAGCGAGGAGCTCCAGTCTCTCCAAAGAAGGACACGCTCCTGATTCTAGTGCGTTGGCTACTTCACGAACCAATTGATGGCCATACGACGCAGTCGCGAGTGATGCCATGTAGGTAGACGCAGTCAATGCTCGCGGGAACACAACACCCGCTTTAAGGTGGATCTGGTTTGCCTGGTTCGAGATCGTGAGACTTGTAAGGTTCTGGCATTCGTGTAGTAAAATACTCAATCCACTGGCTGCACCGTCGCCTTGGTTTCGAGTCTCCACTATAGGAACAGACGCAGCATCGATATGTAGAGACCTTACAAAGGAAGGAGCATGCAGATACAGGAACTTGTTGACGCCACGGCATCGTAGTACGTCCTTGCCGTCCAGAAAGCTGCACACCTGGTGCAACAGATCCAAATTGCTATTAAGCACACAGCCTCTCGCCCCGACGCTGCAGTTGCGGACCTCTGCTTCGGTTATAGCCAAGCGTGGACGCTGTCGCTTGGCAGCAGAGGCTCGGATCGCCTCCATTATCGCCTCGCTGGGGTCTGTAGCTGAGCGTTTGCGCTTGTAGTGGGTCACGAGGCCCTGCACACGTCGCTCCAGCGATGGCTGATGCAGATACTCGCCCAATGAGCCTGCGGAATGATACAACATCCACTCGAGACGTTGCAGCAGTGACGGACTTGTACCCGTATCCTCGCGAGTTTGCAGGATCGGATGGTGCTGCGCTAGTGCTGGATGACTCCGGAGTCGTGCCATCATGATCTTCCGGACTTGGACATCGGTCGGGTCGTGCCATTCCGAGTTGGTGGCGAACTCGGAAGCAGTGGAGACCATTTCACAACGAAGAGGTTTAGTCGACTGGTGCGTAGAGACTTGGGCGGCAGTCGGCACGTTGTGGAATGACCAAGAGACCGAGACAAGAACGCTTGGGAGTTGACAGTGGTCAGATGAAGACGAAAGGCGTCCCGAAATACGGACTTGAAACCAGATTGTTCGATTAGTCCATTTTTTCGTCCACAAGACTGTTACATAAAAATACAGAGGTATCAGAAGAAGAAGGGTGGAGACAGTTTCATACATTAACTGAAAGCAGTATGAGATGCGGATGAATCCTACAAATCAACTGTTATTAGAGGTAATTGGAAGAAAGAGTTGCATATGATGCGACGGTGCACCTTGAGTCAACAAGCTGCCAAGGCTTGGCGCCGTCTGTCCGATAGCTACGCAACGCTTTGCCGTGCAACCCCTTTGTATTGTATCAGATGTCTTGCGTCCCGAGCGAGCTGGAATGGCTGCGTTCACGAAAGCTCTGATGGTTACCAAACAATTGGGTTGTGCATTTCAGAAGATACTTTAGCTTAAATTTTGACAACTTTTTGCCATGATTCATGGCTCGCTCTCTCCGAATTGCAAACGTAGATTTGCGCTTCGGAAATATTTCGGAAGGAAAAAAGTTTTCTGTAATGTGAGTTATCCGAATTTAGTCGCAGGTTAAATAATTTACGGCAAGGAAAAAGTTAAAACATCCAGGCTCAGATGATCTGAACCTTCATGAGCGTATGCTATCAGCGATCGTTTCCATGCATCAATCGCGCGCGTATACATGAGCTATTGCTTATGTGCCACAAAGCTAAACAGTGACAGCGCGCCGCGACGATACACTGCCGGAGCTGCCGAAGATACATACTCAAATGTCTCGGTGCCAAATCCCAAGGCACCGCGACATTTGAGTATCGTCGGCACTGAATGCGGTTCAATTCTATGAGCCCACTCAACACAGAAATCCTTCGACGACGAAGTGGCGTGACAGAGTCATAATATGTGTGCGATACAGAGCCTTCTTGCCGATCATGCCGCGAATCGGGTGGACCGCAGCGCCCTCAAAGCAGGAAGGGAGAAGTAGTAAGATGAGCTTAATGTTTCGTAAAATGTTTCGCTGGATTCTCGCGTTTTTCCCATATCTCGTAAAACTTATATGTGAAAAAACCGCTCCTCTACACAAACACCGCTTATCTTACCTGTGCAATTATATCTATCCACGAAACGGATGACATGCTTTTATGGCCACCGATTAAAACTGACAGGGTTTTCAGGTGATCGTAACGGCGCGTTTTTCTCGCCAATCGCCACTCGCCATCCCACTGTAAGTCCAGTAAAGATCACTCACAAAAAACGATGCACTTGTTGCACTGGCAACTGAAATTGCTTCTTTACCATTTCGACTAATAAGGCTTGACCCAAAAATTAAATCTCACAGCGGGATCAGTCGAGCGTTGAGCGCTGCAGACAACGCCTCTAGTCCCTCCTGGCCGATGAAGTTGTCTTGCAGCAGCAACGTGCGCAGCTGGACTGTTGGAGTGTCCGATCTCCAGCTTGGCTTGATTTTGTGGCTCGAGCATCCATTCTGCATCGATTTGAAATCATTTGCACGGCAAGAGATCCAGTCGGCGATTGCAAGCGCATCCAGGTCCGTGAGGATGTTGCCACTCACATCCAGTACACGGAGCGCTGGCAAACATCGCAACATTCGCAGCAGCGCCTGGCAACCGGCCTCCCCAATGAAATTATTTCGCAGCACCAGCGTCTTTAACGACCCGAAGCAGTTCACGCTATTGCCGTCTACAGCCTGTTCAAACACACCCGCCAGCCGGTTCAAGCGCGTATCGCCCAGGTAGGTAGAATCGAGTCGTAGATACCGGAGAGGAGCCACACTTCGTTGTGTTCCTGCACTTTTGCGTCTCCCATTCGAAAAAGCTTCCAGACATTTCAGTACATCGTCACTCTCGGCGAAATAGTCGAGCGGGGAGCCGAGATCCAGTTCCTGCAACTCGGGACACGCTCCTCGTTCAAACGCACGCGTGATGTCTCTGAGTACCAGTTCGCCAGCAAGTAAATCGTTCTTGAGTCTACCCTGTCGACTGAAGGAAGGTCGGCGATGTACCATCGTTCGAGAGGACTCGACATGAGATTGGAGCTTGCTGGTGACAACGAGACTGGTGAGTTTGCTGCAACTGAGCAGCAACGTCGTGAGTGTACCGCTAGAGAAGTGCTGTAAAGCCGGTGAGTGCGTCTCGAGATGGAGTGTACTCACCATTTTAGGTGCATTTTCCCACATGAACCTATTGACAGAGCGGAGTCGAAGTACCGTCCGTCCTGACAGAAAGCTGAGTACGAGTCCGACGAGGTTGTCGTCGTTCTCCAATAGAAATACACTTCTGTCGGTAGTAAAGTGGTTAAGGCACTGTCGTTTCTTGTCTGGACAGTCATCGTTGCTGTCTCGGTCTCGTTTGTTCTTGTTGTTCCCTTCACGGTTTGCCTTTGGCTCCAGCTGCGTGACGAGGGCCTGTACTCGACGTTCCAGGGATTGTTCGTGTGTATATTCATGCATTGAATGGGCGGCGTTGTACAACATCCACTCGAGTCGCTGTACTAGTGAAGGCACCACAACGGTACTGCCATTGCTGTCTGTGGTGGTGCACTTGGTTCCTGCGAGCACCGGGTGCAGGCGTCGCAGTCGCAACATCATTAACTTCCGGGTCAATCTGTCGTCGACATTATTGTGCCACGTCCGTCCTCTCTGAATGGCACGCGTAGAAGTCGACGAGTAAGGAGGCATTCATACAGAGCCTAGGAGGCGAGGTCGTAGGCGCACGGTAGAAGTAGGAATGACCGAGAGCTCCACGGACGTCGCACGGCAGCAAGCATCGTCATCGTTTAGGGCCGGTGGGTACAAGGTCTGCAACGTCGCCTATCGCTGCAACTCTACAGGATTCTATCCCTAGTGCCTGCTGCTTTGAACGACCGTTTTCCAACCCACTGACCAAAGGCAAAGCCCAAAGATCGACGGTTGGATGCCGATAGCTTCGCGGTGACGGTGAAGCCGTCGCGGTAGTGAACTATGGAATGGATAAAACCTAGAATAACCTGGGTTTCTTTACTTTGTTCTACCAGATTCTGTAAGAACATAAAGAGTTAGGATTCATGGCCTCATGAGTTGGATGGTGTCGCTGGGTTGTGTGATGTCATTAGCGTCGGCGATCACTGCTATGGACGCACAGAGAGCATGTTGAACACCTAGTTGCGGCAGATAGTCTGGGCCTAACACGTCATGAGCTCAGTCGCTCATACAGTTGTTGCAGGTGCCCACGTGGAAACTAGCGACGGTAATGGTCGTCCGCGTTCTCTCTGTGTGGCAGCAGCGTAACAACACGCATATGAGCCACCGTGGATACGTGGTACGAAGCCCTGATCTGTCCAACAGTATGGCTACATTGTTGTCAATCACAATGTTCATGTACTTGTTGCCATGCGAATGACAACCTTCGCTGAAGCCACCCTGGCCAGTCAAGAGGTAGCTAGCCAAAGCACGTACACTCTAGATTTTATTCGACCCTGGGTGGGTTGATACCAGGTTATAGTTTGTTCACAGGAACAACGTTGGTGCAAAAGGCTACATATCCGAAGCACCTTCTTTTGCACCAAGTTATACCGATTCGCATCATCGAAACATGGCAATTGTAAGTTGCAATTTGTAACTCATGTTGTTCTACTTAGAAAAGTTGAACCCACAAATCCATTCCTAGGTACATTCCTCCGAGTACTATAGGACGATGAAGACACGAGTAATTTGTGCATTCCGTGTATGGTAATACAAGGCAAAGTACAAGTACGTGCAGAAGTGTATCTTTGCCTAATATTGCTAGAGCTTCGGAAGTTCTACAGTACTTCGAAGGCAAAAGATACACAAGTCATTACACCTCAACTACTTCAACTACTGCTTCGATCAAAGATGATGCGCTTTAATTCTGCAAATGATAACACGCCTGCTATATTATACTTGAAATCACCAGAGGAGACCTTCACAGTGGTCGAACTACTGAGTATAGATTCTCATCTCCGGCTCTATTTCTTCCAAGTCGACCGACGCTGTTTCTTGGCCGGTGGAGGTGACGCGAACTTTGCCAATCTCTGTAACCCCGACTTCTTGTTGATCGACGGTGACGCCACTGAGCCACCAGGTTTCTTCAGGAACGGGTTCGCTGGCGCCACAGACCGCTCCACACGTGCAGCACTACTCTTTGAAGGGGTTGTCTTCGGTGAGTTTGGTGTCTTGTCTTCACTGGCCTCATCCACCTCTGCAGGCTCGTCTCGCTTTTCTTCACGAGGCTCTGAAGGAGGTCGAGACAGGATACTACGGGCACGACGCAGAGGCTCCACCTCACGTTGCTCAGGCTCTTCCTCCTGATAAGTACGACGTTGTCGTAGCGACTGAGAAGCTTGCAAAGTAGACTCCTGCTGCAATCGTCGAGGCTCCTCGAACTTCACACGATACAATTCATAGAGCTGGGACTGCAATTGACGCAGAGAGAAGTGGATAGCAAGTTTCTGAGCGATCTGGTGAGATTTCTCGAGATGCAGACACTTGGCCAAGTCCAGCACACGCGCAGGCTCGTCATTGGTATACGCAGTTTTCATCATCAAGATCAGAGCCTTATCCATCTCGGCTTGTTCGTGAACGACTTGATCGGCGATATTCCCATCGTTAATCTCGTTCGCAATACTCTCCAATCCACACAGTCGAACGTTCTGCCACATGTGGCCATTTGAAGCCTCCTCGTTCTTCTTCGAAGTCTTAGGGAACGAAGCTGTACGTAGTGAGAACGTAGCAGGCACAGGACGATGGTTTCCACGCAGTTTCGGAGCGCGAGTTTCCTTATCCAGTGGGAAATACAGCAACGAATCGTTAACAACTCCCAGTGTAAAGACACCGTGACGATCCTCCGGTTTCTTCTGCAGCGCGTTGCCCACACAGCCGATAGGGAACCAGTTCCATCCCGTACTAGGCGAGAGAGCCTGAATGCACGAGAACGAGTCCACTGCGTACAGAATCTGACGGTCATCGAAGCCCAACCACGTGAGTTTGGACCAGTTTGAAACATCTTCACGAATGGCTTCGTTCTCCTTGTGTGACGCGAAGACATCGCGTGGCGGTGGAGTCATTGGTAGTTCACCCTTAGAGACCAACGCAACTCGTTCACGAGATGAATCCACCTGAATACGAAGAAGCTGGTAGTACAGTTGACCATGTAGTCCCTGATACACTACAGCCAGTAGAGACTCTTTCGCTGTCATAGTCACAACGCGACCAGGTAGACGTAACAGGGCATAGTCAATGCCACTGGATGTGTAGATTCGAAGCGTTTGCAGTGACGTCGCCACGGCGCAGAACTCACGACCAGCAGCCACACACTCGGCGTCTTCGCCCTCGGGCAACGTCTTGTGCCACGAACTGTTACTCGCCCAAGACTCGAATGGCCGGTAGAAGATAAAGCTGCTGATAACGTCACTTTCACTGGATCCAGCTTCAAGGTCCTCCCAGTCCTCACGAACACGTCGAGGAACGGCAAACACAGCTCCATAGTCGTCCAGAAAAGCCATGCAGAACATGTAGTTGTCGTTGAACTTGAAGCCACGACGAGACTTGTCTGTAAACTCCACTTTCACGAGGTTTTCACTCATACTGGCGCCACGAATCACTTCGATCTCGCCCTGCGGTGTCCATGCCAGTAACGACGTCGCACTGGTACGTCCACTTGGGTCCATAACGCTACCAGGCTGGAAAGGCTCCGTGACTGTACGTAGGGCAGACGTTTCTTGACGACTGGACTTGGTAGAAGCAATTTGAGCGGACATAGAGACGTCTTCGTCTTCGATTTCATTAGCGTTGGCATTGGCAGCAGCGCCGAAGCCGAAACTGGCCTTGATAGCCTCCACTCGAGCCTCGTTATCGTCGTCAAAGCTCACTTCTTCCTCCTCTTCGTCATGTTTCCCATCCTCTTCAGCCTCATCGTCCACAAATGAAGAAACTTTGAGTCGCTTACTCGACTGGGAGAACTTAGTTGTCACTGGCTGTCCGACAATATGCTGAGGTGGCGTGTATCCTGCTGGGATGACATCTTTGACAAATGCCAGCTTACCGCCAGTGTGATAGAGGACCATGGCATTGCTCTTGTTGGCGAACTGTACACCGAGCGCTGGGTAGTCAAACTTGAAGGCGCGTAGCACAGTCTGTGTCTCCAAATCCCATACAAAAACCTCCTTAGCACACGTCACAGCAGCCAAGTACTGGCCATTGGGCGAGAATGCCAGGATATCCACATCAGCAGCGGAGCTTCTGCCAATTGGCAGCCTTAGTTGGCCCTTAGAAGCCCATGAATCTCGTTCAAAGAGCTCAATAGTCGCTTTATCCACCGGAACTGCCAGCAACTTGCCGTTGTCTCCAGGTTGCCAAGCGCAACGCAGCAATACGTCGTCGTTCCTGATGTCTCCGTGCTTGATCGTGAAGGTTTTGACCTCCGTAGCGCGCTGACCTTCTGCATCCAATGCAAAGACCCGTACAGACGCGTCTTCGCTGCTGGCACAGAGATATTTCTCCTGTGGATCCAGCACCACGCTCTTAATGGATCCAGTAGCGCCCTCTGCGAGGATAACCTGCTCTGTATTACTACGCAGTAGCAGTCGCACCACAGGCTCATCATCTGCAATAGCAATGAACTTAGTGGAGCACGAAACCTGACGGATAGCAACTGTGGAGCGACGCAGAAGTTGGTCCAATTGGCAGTCCGGAGGGAGGCTGTAGGACGCCACGTTGCTGTCATCATCTGACGCAATGAGCACGTGATTCTGCTCAGGCGTCACGGCGAATGAAGGCACGAAACCTTCGCATACTTCGGCCTGGTACACGGAGCTCTCGGTAGCCAGGTCCGTCACGTAAAGTACGCCGTCCTCTCCGCTCGTAAAGACCACATCGCAACCCGCAGGCACTTGTCCGTCCTTCATGGGACGCAGCGTCGTCACCAGCTGCATGGCGCCCTTGCCATTCACATTTACAGCGATCTCCTTCATGGTCTCCATGGTCCCAGAGGCCTTTGGCGCTAGAAGCCCGAATGACGCAGAGATCAACTTCCCGCCATTTTCATTCCCGGAAAAGTACGATACGTACCTAACATGAAAGGTAATGTAAAATATTTCGTACTTAATTGGGTAATTAGTGCACGAAGAGATTACGACAGATCGACCCATTCTGGAAGACACTAACTAGCTTGTAGAATGGGCGACCGCGGCAACGTGTACTACGCGCCTACGGGCGAGACGACTGAATGGGAGGACATTTTGGTCAAGAAGGGTATTCTCGCACCCAAGACGAAGGTCCCTGATGAGGAGGAGCAGGAAGAGGAAGAGCAGGTGGACCCTCGCGAGAACGCGACGCTCGATGAGTTGGACGAGATGGAGGACGATTACGACGACGACGCCGAGCTGGCGCGTATCCGCGAACGTCGAATTCAGGAGATGATGGCGCAGGCGGCACGTAACAAATTCGGAGACGTGCAGCCCATCGCCAAGGACGAGTGGACTAAGGAAGTGACGGAGGGCAGCAATGATCACTGGGTCATCGCCTACCTCTGGGACGACGCGCTCGAGGAGTGCAAAGTTATGGACCATGTGCTGCGAGAGGTGGCGAAGAAGCACCGCGACGTCAAGTTCGTGAGCATTCAGGCCCAGGCCTGTATCGAGAACTGGCCAGCCCGGAATTGCCCCACACTCTTCATGTACCACAAGGGTGCGCTCAAAAACCAGCTCCTGGGTATCCGCAAGCTCAACGGTCTCGACATGAAGGTTGAAGGTGCGTTTGCAGCAGTTGGGTTGATAATATTGCTGAGCACGAGCATTGGGTACTGACATGGGTTGAATTGTTCGTTGTGTTGCAGATCTTGAGGAATACCTGGCAAAGGCGGACGTCTTCAAGGCAGACGACTAGTTCCGTTGGTAAACTTAGCTGCATACTGTGTGTTGGAGCATAGAGTGCGAAAAAAAAACGCTTCTAATGTGCACTTACGATAGATTTTGCCTAGCAATGTATTGCTGCTGCTGTCCATTGCATAATTTTAGTCCTGCAGTACCTTGGGGACCTTAAAGTAGTAGCCAGACTTCTCGGCAGCATTTGCCAACACCTTCTCCGCGCAGTCGCCTTCAGTAACGACGTCGTCTCTGAGAGGAGCCACCACACCTACGATACCAAAAAAATGCAGACAAGCAACACCATTAGATGTAATTTCTTCGACGACAAAGCTCTTCGAATAACACGTACCGGCGTCGAAGTCGCTTTTGGCGTATACATCGTCAATATTCTCGTTCAGCGTCATGGCCTGGATGGTCTTGGTGCATTGGATGATGGACTCGACGTCCTTGAGTAGTCCAGGGAGCTTTTCGTCCTTCACGTGCAAATGGCACAGCTCCGCCAACTCGCGAAGCTGTCAGATATACAGCAGTGCATACTGTTAAAAGACTGCAATAATATAACTTTTCACGGGCATTGCAGCGCACCTTCTCTTCAGTCAACACTGTATCCGCGGCGTTGAGCTCTCCATCCTGATGAAGCTCCTTGAGCGACCAGGATGGCGTGCGCGGGACGCTGGAGATCTCGCGAAGACCCTCAGGCAGTGGAGCAGCTGTAGAGCTGAAGCATCGAGTAGTAGAAGCCTGGAGTGAACGTCGGACAGCGCGGTGAAGCTGCCTCGCCGTCGCCACAGATGTCCGCATGACGCCTGTAATTGAAATGAGCGGTTGTCAACTACATAAGTTCGCCTTAAGTTCGCATCCAGTAGAAGGCAAAAGGATGAAGGTGCCCAAGATGATGATCGACTACACGCTGCGCTTTGGTATCCCCATAGCACTATGCTACGCCTACTGGGACCCCAAGTCTGATGAGGACATCCGTCGCGACGTGGTACGTGTGGTAACAGATCGGTGGCAGCAAAACTGCGTTGAGAAGATCACAATAGTCGCGCTACTGGCTGGTTGGTAGTCCTGCTACGTAGTTGTCTTACTGGCTGATGCTGCTTTTGCAATGTTTATTCGAGCAGGAATCCAAGATTAAGCCGGATCTGGAGACCAGGAAGAAGAAGCAGGCCAAGTTTGCGGAGCTATTGCTGCAGAAGGACGGCATCTCGAGCGAGTCAAAGCAGCAACTGGACCGAGTTACGGCCTTCACCAAGACAAAGGAGCAGTATTTATCCGATAAGAAGAAAGAGAAATGAAAAGAGAACTCTGGTCTTTGATACTACGTTGTGGGTGTGCTTGGTAGTGGGTCGAACTGCTGATCAATTCATGTACCGCTGGATGCGACTACAGTGCACGGAGTCAGCCTCTTTCAACGCGATCTCCAGCTGCCTCTGCATGAGTTTAAGACCATCATAGTCTACACGTAGACAGGTTGACTGAGTCTGCGGTACAGTAGAGCTGTTGGCTTGGGTGGCAGTGTCCAGACTAAGCGTCACGATGGGCTTCGGCTTGTTTCGGTGGAAACGAGTGCCGAGCTGTTGTAGTGCATTTTGGCGGTGTTAGACATCACTACACAGCTTGAAGCAATGCCGGGTCTTACCTCGAGATCGATTCGCCACTCCAAATTGCGATAGTGTGGAACGCTTATGCCGTTATCCCTGGAGACGCACTCTCGAATGTCTGTACCGTGCGCCCCATATAACTACAAGGGTGAAGATTAGATCATTCAGTCGATAAATCAGCGCTTAGCATAATCTACATATACGTCAATGCGTAGAATACAAAAAATAAAATAAAAACGAACATCATACCTGCGTGAGAACTTCGACGTGGTGCTCCGGCAGCGTCATTCCTTTCAAGACCAACCGAAAGGCACGCTCGGACATTTCAGCCTGCACATACATAGACGCGATTAGCACTTTATTACCTCTTCGTTGCAACTGCAGCTACTTCACACGCCTTGGCGTTGTCCATCAGGATCTTCGCGACGGCGAGCACCGCTTTCTCTGTCTGCTCGGCCTCCCAGCCAGATGCCGCTGCAAATACAACACCAAAGTCAATTCAAGCATGCACAGCAACGTTACTCCAGTTGAACTATTTGCACCCACATGCCGTGCGTGTCAATCGCCGCTTGCTCTGCTTATCCGAGCCAAAAAGTCGCACAGCCAGCTTGCATACCTCCCCAAAGTCTGCGGCCAGATCGCGCACGTCAACAATTTAATGCTCCCAAAATTATGCTGCAATCAAGAGTCATCCTGTGGACTCACTCTCAGCTGATAACTCGCTGGCCTGCGCCACAGCCTCCAGTACGCGCTCGTCGGCAGCGAAGCTCCTGCTCATGACCGTCGATGGATTCACTTTTTGTCTGATAAGTGTCTGATACGAATCACCTTTTGACCAATAACAGACGAGGAGCTCCCCAGCAGCATTTCCCATACAAATTCGATCGTTGTTGCAGCGATGGCAGCGAACGGCGCAAGTGGCGGCGGCAGTCGCAAGGATCCCATCCTAGACTTGGCCAAATACATCGACCAGGAGGTTCGCGTTAAGTTCCACGGTGGTCGCGAGGTGACGGGCACGCTTAAGGGCTACGATCAGCTGGTGAATCTGGTACTGGACGACTGCGTCGAGTTCCTGCGTGACCCTAACGACGAGTACCGAATCACGGACGAGACGCGTAAGGTGGGTCTGGTGGTGTGCAGAGGCACATCCGTCATGCTTGTGTCTCCCGTGGACGGCACAGCCGAGATCCCCAACCCGTTCCTGCAGCAAGAGGGATAGGAAGACTGCGATGTCCAAGACTTTTTCAGAAGGTTTCTCTAGATAAGATCCCAAGATCCATATTCGTGCTTTATTGCTTTTCTGCTACAGTGCATTCTATTCTTTTTGCATCTACTGAACAGGATCTATTAGACGAACCTTGTAGACGTAACCCCAGAGCTTGCCCGTGACGTAGAACGCGTCCTCAGCTTCATCATACGCGATTCCGTTGAGCACGGCGCCAGAAGACACGTCAACACCAGCGTCGGCGACCAATTTGGACAAGTCGAACATGGTGACGATGCCACCCGTCTCGGGGTCAATCTTCAGGATGTAAGGCTGGTACCACACGTTCGCGTAGATGAATCCCTTGGCGTACTCGAGCTCGTTGATATTGGAAATCTTCTGTGCGCCATTGTACATCGACACGTCGATATGCCCGACCTCCTTCATCGTCTTGGGGTTCCAGAACATGATGGTCGATGAACCATCCGAGACCGCGTAGTCTTCACCGTCGAAAGTGATGCCCCAGCCTTCGCCCGTGACGGTGTCGAACTTAAACTCGCGCTTCAACGCGAAGCCATCCTTGCCGTCCTCATCTTCCTTTAGATCGAACACAAGACCAGTTTTGCTCTTCCACGTCAGCATAACCAACTCGTTATTCGGACCGAGCGTCACACCCTCACCGAAGAGCTCCTGGGGCAGATCGTACTGCTTCAGTACCTTTCCAGTTTCGATTTCCACGTGACGCAGAGTCGACTCTCCATTCAAGCCTGTCGATTCGATGAAAAACTTTTCCTGACCGCGGTTCATGACCGTGAAGCCCTGGGTGAACGCCTTGGTATCGTGCGGGTACTTGCCCAGCATTTGGACGGTGGGGCGTGCGGCAGTTCGACGTGTAGCTCTCGCTTCGACTCGCGCTTCTTCGTGGGAGCTCAACGTGCGACTGGGAGAAGGCGCCGGTGTCGGCTCCCGCTGTGTGGTCACCAGCAGCACTCCGATTGCCACAATTAAACAGGCCACAAGCAAGCGCACAAGGAGACGCGGCAGCATCCCGATCTCCTTTTGGCTTGAAGCTTGAGCTGCAGCTTCAGCTTCGGCTCTTTTCGCTTCTGCCGACGCAGTCCACCTGTCACGGCGTCTTGGGCGCCTGGAAACCTGGTTACGGGCCATCGTGGCAGGTTGCAGAGGGGTCAATTGGGGTCAATCTCGATGTGATGCACCATGGGATGGATTGACAGCAACAAGCCGGAGCAGTAGTTGTACCAGTGGTGTACCCTAAATTTGGTACATTTTCTTCATTATCGCCACGTCTTCTGTTTGCTACAGTACCGGGAAGCTGCGCTACTATGGGCGTGCTGTGGAACTTCGTGCTCACGAGTCTGCTGCTCACTAACGCTGTGTGCATCCTGCATGAGAAGCGCTTCCTGCGTCCGCGTACGTTCTACCTTGGTGTGTTATAGCGGATCTTCTCTATTGACTGATGGCTCGACTGCAGACGGCTGGCACAAGGTGGACTCGTCACAAGGCATGACGATCAAGAACCAGGTCGTGGGCTTCCTCATCGCTGTGCAATATCTACGATGTACGTCTAGTAATTGGCTATACTGCGCTCTGTTCTGTTGGTCTTGCTGTTTGTCGTGATGGTATTTAACATTTGTTCTCGCTGTTGTTATCCGCGTCGAATTCGCTACACCGTCTGCTGCAGTCCCGCTCATGATCATCAACACATTGATGATCGTGCTGGAGTTAATCATGGGCTGAAGTATCTTACCAAGTCCAAGCACCAGCAGATAAATCCAACCGCATTTTTTTCGTGTCAATCTTTTGTCGAGTTGAGTTCCTATATACAGCAAATTGCAGATTGCAGATTGCATTGAATTTACAATACACCAGCTACGACTCATAGCTGCTTTTAAGCTATCTCATACGTGTCCTATATAGCTACACATACATCGACGTCCTTGGCGCACGTTGCGCCGGATCATGCTTGACTTGGCTACGTAATGATCTGATCTCACGAAAGATTTCGGGTCGAAACCCGTTTTCCTACAAAATTCAAGAACTCATCGACCCGGGTTCTACTTCATTCCCCCCTTGCGATCCGACTTTAGCTCTTGATTCGCATTGCTCGGGCATCGCCGCTTGGCGCTCCGGTCAATCGCGTATAGTTCGCCTCCAAGTCGGAGCCCAATCGCTGCTGCAAGCCTCGCGTCTCAGCTCCCGTCTGCAGTCTTCCTCGTCGTTTGTTGCCGTCAACATCGTCCGCAATGTTCGAGAAGAACCTGCAGGACCTGGTCAAGGGCATCCGCTCGGCCAAGGGCGACGTAACTGTGTACATCTCGCAGGCTCTGCAGGAGATCAAGGCGGAATTACGCAGTACCGACCCGTTCGTCAAGGCACAGGCCGTGCGTAAGCTCACATACCTGCATATGCTAGGCTACGACATGTGCTGGGCCGCGTTCCATGTCGTAGAAGTCATGAGTTACGAGCGATTCGCACACAAGCGCATCGGCTACAATGCTGCATGCCAGAGCTTCACGCAGTCCACAGACGTGGTGCTTTTGTGCACAAACCTGCTCAAGAAGGAGTTCGGTAGCACTAGCGAGTACGAAGTGGGTCTGGCCATCAACGTACTGGCTAATATCGTGACTACCGACTTGGCGCGAGACCTTCTGGGGGACGTATTGGCCATGATGGGCTCTCCTAAGCCCTACGTCCGCAAGAAAGCCACTCTGGTGCTGTATAAGATGTTCCTCCGCTATCCTCAAGGCCTGCGACTGTCCTTCGACCGACTCAAAGAGAGGATGGAGGAGCCTGACGTCACGGTCGTGTCTTGCGCTGTCAACGTCATCTGCGAACTGGCCAATAAGAAACCCAAGAACTGCTTGGGCTTGGCGCCTCAGTTCTTCCGTCTACTCACCACTTCGTCCAACAACTGGATGCTCATTAAGGTCGTCAAGTTATTGGCCAGTTTAGTGCCCGAAGAGCCTCGTCTTGCGCGTAAGTTGCTGGATCCACTGGCCACAGTCATCCAGAACACGCCAGCCAAGTCTCTGCTGTACGAATGCATCAGTACCGTCACCACGGCGCTGTTGTACACCAAGAAGAGTGATGGATCGCAGCCACGCAACGTTGCAGCAGTCGTGAGACTTTGCAATGATCATCTTCGTCGCTATATTGAAGATCCGGACCAGAATCTGCGTTATTTAGGCCTTGTGGGGCTTGGAAACTTGATGAAATCCCATCCGTACGTGATTACGGAGCATCAGGCGCTCATTGTGGAGTGCTTGGCTGTAGATGACATCACCATTCGAATGCGAGCGCTGGAGTTGCTGTCTGGAATGGTAAATCCGGATAACGCGGCCCCTATTATCCGGGAACTCATGCGTCAGACGCTGAGTGCTGATGGAGCGTACCGTCACGAGCTTATCACGCACATTTTGCACGTTTGTTCGGTCAACAAGTACGCGAACATTCACGACTTTGACTGGTATATTCACGTGCTGGTTCAACTCGCTCGTGTGCCTGGTAATACTGCTGCTACGGTGGATGCGTCGCTGTCGTCATTGGCTCCGTCGTCCGGTAGTATGCTGGGCTCCAGTACTAGCAGTTCGAAAATGAAAGTGAGCGATGACGAGCCTGCAAAGCGTTCGCACGGGGTGGAAGTGGCTCGTCAGCTTGTGGACATTGCAGTTCGAGTCAAGAGTGTGCGTAGTGTGATGGTGGACAACATGATTGAGTTGCTGATGGAGAAGGAGGCGCTCAGTGGACCTGGAGCCGGTACTTTACAGGAAGTTTACTACGCAGCAGCGTGGATTACAGGCGAGTATGTGATGGAGTTCTTGGACGATGTGGACGATGAGGAAGACGAGGAGAGCGAGGATGAAGAAAGAGAGACGGAAGAGGAGAAGCTGCAGCGACTAGAAGATCTCGCTGATGAGATGCTCCAGCCTCGTACGACTACGCTTCCTGGTCACGTTCAGACTGTGTTTATCCAGGCTCTATTGAAGATCTTGACTGCGATGGCTGAGCGTGCAGATGACGCTACGGTGGAGCGTATTGCGACTGTTATCATGGAACGCTTGCCTGCTTTCGTTCAGAGTGAGTATATCGAAGTTCAGGAGCGTGCAGTGTGTCTACAGCAGCTCTTACTTGCGTTGGGTATGGGCCTGGGAGCACTGACTGCTCAAGAACGGACTGAGCGTGCATTTGATGGCAGTGCTTTATTGGATCCGGCAAAGCGTCTGGACGTATTGAACTCGTACTTTGCAGAGCGACTCGCTCCTGTTGGTGTCAAGGCGCAGCGTAAAGTGCCACTGCCTGGTGATCTGGATCTTGACGAGCCTTTGAATAATTCCGAGGCGAAATTCCTCGAATCAGGCGGAGATGTGTCAGCTTTCTCGAGCGAAGATGACCTGGAGGTCTCGTTCGTTAGTCAGGGTCATGCTGGGATTGGTGGAGGCTACAGTGGCATTGGAGATGGCTCTCCTGAGCGGAAGCCTGGACACAAACACAGTCGTCATCGTCGGCATGATTCGTCCTCATCCGAGTCGGAATCGGAGTCTGAATCTGAAAACTCTGCCGAGGAGAAGGAGCGGAAGGAGCGTGAGTATGCGCGTGAACAAGAGCGACTGCGTAAAGACCCCTTCTATCTGTCTGGAGGCTCACAAGCATCAGCTGATGCCAACGCGGTAAGAGGAGGAATTCATCCTTGTTGTAATAGTTTCGATTAATGACTGTGTATTGGTTGCAGGGCTTTGCGGATATGATGGGCGCCTTAGGCTCGAACGGCAAGAAGAAGAAGGCCTCAAAGGTGTGTAGTTTCTCGAATTTAAGTGTGTTTATACGGTCTGTCTGGTGCTTACTCGCTTGCTGTTACAGAAGTCAAAGTCTCGAGATATTCTAGAAGACGAATTGATGCCCGAAGGTGCTCGTTCAAGTGACGAAGACCGTCGACGTTTTCGGAAGAAACGTGGTTCAATGGGTGAAGATGTACGTCGTTTATTGTATCACATTGTTCGATGTTACAAGCTGGTTACTGACTCATCTTTTATCGTGATGTTACAGGAAACTGACCTGGCTGCAGTGGATTTGAGTATCCCACTTGGTGAGAACGAGAAGGTTCCTACAGAGCAATGGTTCCATCGCCAGACACCTGCAAAACCAGTTGAGGATGAGAAGAAGTCGAAGAAAAAGAGCTCCAAACACAAGAAATCATCGCGTGGAGAGCATGTCGACAAGAAGAAGAAAGACGTGTCGTCAAAGAGCTCGAAGTCCAAGAAGTCATCGCGGAAGCAGGATGTGTTGATTGGCGGGCTTAGTGATGAGGAGCAGGAGACTGAAGACCGTCATCAACGGAGCTCGTCCAAGAAGAGCCACAAGAAGAGCAGCTCGAGTAAGAACGATGTCGACAAGAAGAAGAAGAGGAAGGAAAAGGGCTCCAAACGTCAGGAGGCACCGCCAGCAGAGCCACTTTTGCTCTTTTAGACGACCCACCATTGAGTGAGAGCAAGAAATGACAAATACGTGATGAATTTCTTCGAGGATAGAGTGTCTATGGAGTTACGTGGAGTTTACTTCTTGTGCTTAGCCTTCTTGGACTTGTGCTGCTTCTCCTGTTTGTCGGACGAATGCTTCTTCTTGCGCTTTTCAGCTACAGGCGAAGCTTCGACAGTCTCGCTCTTCTTGGCTTTTACTACAGGCACTGCGTCTACGTGGTCCTCCACGAGCGAGAAGCAGCGAGAGAATGGCTTTCCTAACACGAAGCGAGCGCGGTCCGAGGCAAGAGGGAGTGCGTTTACGAGCTGGTCCGTGAGCATACCGTCCTCGCTCTGTAGTAGGTAGTTCTTGTTGTCTACTCCAGCTGTGACCTTGGCCAGCACCTCACCGGGTGCTGCTCCCTTGCTCTCGTCCACTTTAAACGTCACGTTCGCTAGTGCCGACGCGTCCAGCTACAATAAAAAAAATGTCAAATATTTCGATCGGGTTTTGTGGTGTCTGCAACGAGCTACGTACGTTCTTAGGCAGCTTGAAGAACCAGAGTTCCTGGTCGTTGTTGAACACGACCTCGCGGGTCACGGAACCGCTGCCCTTAACGCTCTCGAATCCCGGTGGGATCTCGAACTCGCTGTACAGCAGTAACATTGTCAGTAAATGTGCACAACGTGCAAAATAATTCAGCGGTGAAGTTGGGAACGACGCGGTTAATCACGTACTCGTCGGATTCCTCGTCGGAGCTGGACTCGTCGTTATCCTGGGTTATCTGCGTCGTTGTTTGTCGCTCTTGTTCGTCGCCGGAGGACGAGGCTGAGGAGCTCTCATCATCGTCACGCGACTTGCTCAGATTCAATCGCTTAGCGGGGGCCATCTCTGGTTTCTGTAGATTTTTTCTTGAGAAGACAGGTGTGCGAGCGTCTGGGCTTTCAGGAGGTGTGTATATGAAAGAGTTAGCAAGAGCACGAGGCGGCCTGGAGACAGAGAGAGAGCGACGCAACTGCCTGACACGCTTTGTTGCCAAAATGAATGGAGAACCAACGGTGCACCAAGTCACAGTTTCGAGGGGATCGTCCGTTTTCTGCAATCAAACAAAATTGTGGTCAACTAACTCATTTGATCCAATTTTAATAATAGCATATTTAAATAATAATATTCCAAAACTAAATAATAATATTTTAATGTCTTAATTTCAAATATATTTTAATTTGAATTGCCTGTGTCGCTGACAAATTGTCAGTCCTGCGTCGAATTGCAGCGTTGCTCTCTCAAACGATGCACTCTGTCTGTTGATCATGGTTGGCGATGCAGTCATTTGCGCAATTGTTCGCTTTATTAAGCAGCGAAAAACGTTTATGAGAACTCATGGTTCACGTGCGGCGAATGGATTCGCAAACTCAGTGTTTTCTCACGGTGCAGCTTTAAAGGGCACGAGATACGTGGAAATGTAATTGGACCTTTTTAATGCTGTGCGGATGTGAGTATTTGGACTCGCAAAACAAAAAACAAACTCATCGCGTCACTACATCCCATCCAGTCACGACCAACCCACCAAAGCCATGATGGCCTGCTTTCAATCCAAATCCTTTCACTGCCACTTGCTGCACCCCCTTGCACAGTTCTTTTCACCTCCGATATGGCCCCGACCGCATTAACTCAACTTCTTATCTTTCTTCGGCGCCGTCTTGCCGCTAGAATTTTATTGCTACGTCGATGCCGAAGCGGTCGGACGAACATTCCCGATATTCAATTTCAAGCTGCTACGTCTAGCGATAACCGCGGACTACTGGACAGCTTCCTTGATAACGAGGCGGCAATGAAAAGCTACGCTGAAGAGGTGAATCTCGATCGTATTAGAAGCTTAAGCTCGGAAGATCGTCAAGCGGTTGCAAGGCACCGATCCCATCGATATCTTCCAACTAAGCCAGCACTACCAAATCTTAAGCCACGAGGACCTCGCATTGAGGTCTGGGAATGACACGACCAAAACCATTTGTTTTGAAAAACTCGCTCCATCTTACATTATTATAATTTTTCTGGAAATATTGGTACACTCGTACTGCTCGATTCACAGTTGGGCGCTGCATTCACGGTCGTCGAGATAAGGTGGTTCTGCTTTGGATGGGCTTGCCTTCAATCGGATGCCATAGTTCGCAGCCCAGCCCCATCGTCGCGCCGCTCGCTTGCTCATTGCTTGTCTTCATGCCGTTCTCGTTTCTTCCTCTCGTTGCCACTTCAACAATTTTTGCTTTCCTAAGTTTTGCTACTTACTACTTTTTCTTGCCGACATTCTGTAGCACGAGGTGTCCGCTGGTTGTATGGTTTTGTATCACCAAAGCTTGATGCTCGTCGTGCCAATACAGGACGTACACCCAAGCTCTGGCTAGCTGGATGGGTTATCGTTATTTTCTCTCGTTTTGAAGTCAGATGGAGCGCGAATTTCTCTTCATGGTCACTTGTCGCATTGCTCACTCACTCCGTTGCGTTGAACTAGGTGCCGCCGCACGTCAAAAGGGAGACGACGTGTGGGGCCCTACTTCACCGAGCGGGGCTGGTGCAGCGCTGAGCGCATGTTCCTCTTAGCGTGGAAGCTGTTCTTCTTCTGCAGATGAATCTGCTTGGAGGAGAAGCTCTTGGCCTTGGCAGCCTTAGCCATCATGCTGTAGATCTCGGCGTCCACATCAGAGCTAGAGCGCAGTTCGCGCGTCTTCTGAGTGAGCTTGTGGTGCAGTTCCTGGTGGCTCTCCATCAGGTCCAGCTCGGCCAGGATCTCGTTGATCTCGTCCACCTGCTCCAGCTCCAACATCTCAGTGGCAGTCAGCGGGTAGTACGCGGGGTCGAACAGCTCCTCGTCCGGGATCTCGGCCAAGGGCTCCACGGGATCAGCGATCACGAAGCCTGCCTTGCCTGGCGAGTGCGGGCGCTCCAGATAGTAGTCGTCCGTGATCGCAGGGTACCACGTCATGGACGGATAGAAGGGCGGCGCCAGAGCATCCAGCGTCGACGAAGGCAGAGGTGACGACACCATTTCGGTAATCTCTTTTTGTTGTAGTTGATCTGCTGTGTGCTGCTTGAAGCAAATTGCACTATGGCGCGAATGTGGGCGGTCGCCGCAAAGAGACGACCTACGCCATGTCTTTCCGCGTGACCTTTGAGGAGCGTTCGAAGTGATATTTAGCCAATCATAGAGATTTCTTTTTCTGTTTTGGCCAATTGTAGTGCAATTTGTACGACGGCCCTACACCTAAAGAAGCTTTTCGCCTAGCCGCGAGGACTGAACTTCAAGGTCTCGCATTAGTTATATCTTGGTCGAAATAAAATGCCAGAATGGTCCTTCATCTGTCTTATGAACCTTGGAACAGGAATCAGCATCGTCGATGAGCAAACCTATGCGGCGAGCAGTAAAGCGGTATGATAGGCGAAGACGTGCTCCCGCGGAAAGCGTAGGAAAGTAGCAAGATGACCAGGACAAGCTGCAACGTATTTGCATGCATAGGAATAGCACGCATCATGTGTTGCCGGGTCGAAACTGAAGAATCCACTGCCGAGATTCCGCCCGAAATTCTCGCAACCTGAGCGCGGCGCGCTAATTGCAGACACGAGACAATCCAAGCACGGTGACAAAAGATCTTATCCTCCTCGACACCGCGTAGCGAGATGGCAAGACGATACTTGTATCCTCGCTTGAGTCAGCCCTACAGCTGAATAAATCTTGCAAAAAAAAGGAAAAGCAATTGTTGCAATAGTACAGTGGACGATGCAGTATGTACGTAGGAGTACAGTGGATTGTATGGGATTTTATATTAGAAACATACGGAAACCAAGATAATAGTCAACACTCTACGAGCCATTCGCCAGCGGCTCTGATCATGGTGCGCGTCGCGGTGGTGGGCTGTGCCCACGGGATGCTGGACGACATCTACGCGACCGTCGATTTTGTCAACGAGATGGATCCAGAGAATCCCGTGGAACTGCTGCTTTGCTGCGGCGACTTCGAGTGCATGCGTAACATTCGCGACCTGGAGACGCTGGCCTGTCCGCCAAAGTACCGCGCACTGCACGCTTTCCATCGCTACTACAAACAGGAGAAGACAGCCCCAGTGCTCACGATCTTTGTCGGCGGTAACCATGAGGCTTCAGGGTACCTAAAGGAGCTGCACTATGGCGGATGGGTGGCCCCCAACATGTTTTATCTTGGAGCAGCAGGCGTCGTCAACGTGGCAGGACTGCGTATTGCTGGGTTGTCTGGCATTTACAAGCAGCAACACTACACAGCAGGACGATTCGAATCAATGCCGTTCGACAACAATACTATGCGTAGCGTATACCACGTCAGGGAGCTCGAGGTTTTCCAGCTCTCGCACGTGCAGCAGATAGACAAGACTCCTCTAGGCGTGTTCCTCTCGCACGACTGGCCCCGAGGAATCGAGCAGTACGGTAATATCCCGCAATTGCTGCGTCGCAAGCCGTTCTTTGAGCAGGAGATCAGAACCAACACATTGGGCAGTCCTGCCGGCGAGTTCCTGATGTTCCAGTTGCGCCCGCAGTACTGGTTTGCAGCACACTTGCATGTCAAATTTGCTGCCATCGTGGTGCACCCTAATCAGGCAACTGATGCGTCAAGTGGCGAGTCTACTGAAACAGAAAAACCACAAGCGAATGAACAGGATTCGGCTCCCAACCCCCCACCTCAGCCTGCGACTACCAAGTTTTTAGCGCTTGATAAATGTCTCCCTCGTCGAGAATTCATGCAGATTCTGGACTTGCCTACTTCTACTGCAGCAAATACTCCAGGGAGCCAGAAGAATGATTCAGACGCACCGATGAGCGAAACAAAGCATGATGCCACCCATTCCGATGATGCTGCCAAGACTGAAGCTTCCGCGCAACACGCTAAGCGCTCGCCTCCCAAGATTATGTTCGATCTCGAGTGGCTTGCTATCCTGCGTGCAACGCATCACCTTGCTTCATCCAGTAAGTTTGCACCGCGGGTGCCGCAGGAGGAAATGAAGATTGAGGACAAGGACATTGCATGGGTAAAGCAGCGTCTCCAGGAATTTGTTGTAGGGAAGAAGATAGACAAGGCCGAGGGCGAGTGGATCACAGACTTTGTGAAGACCGCACCAGGCCACGGTGAAGAGGCAGGACCCGTGTTGGTGACGGGTAATCCTCAGACTGATCTCCTTTTGGAGCTGTTGAAGCTTCCGCACGTAGTGACTGCGCCATTTGTTGGTGGTGACGCGACTGCTGCAAATGTTGATGACCCAAACGAGATCGACCTAGATGACGATGACGGTGATGAAAACGACGTCGAAGATACAAAACCAATGGACACCGATGCCGCCACCAGCAATGATACTAATGCTAACCCAGTAGTAGAGTCTACAGCAGCACCTGCAGACCCGTGCGAAATCGATCTAGACCTATAATGTGCAAGCAATTCTGGCATCGTTTGGCTCCCTATTGTCTTGTGGAAAGAAGACAATACTTGCAAATTTCATGTCTGCAATTGCAAGTTGCGATTGCTAGTATCCAAATATTTCAGTTAAAATCTATCACATGTATACAGTATACAATTATACATTTGATCATGAAGAATAATTTTAAATAATAAACTGTATTAAAATATATGTTTAATAAAATTAGATTTGCATAGTATTTAATTTTCTTCTTCTAAGACCAGCAGGTATATATCACGCAGGAAAAAAACACCTGTATACTGTGATAGATCTCAGCAGTGAACGGTAAATGCGTGGGTGTAAGAAGGCGGATTCAAAAGTAGTGAAACGCTACTAGTCACTGCAAATGCGACTGATGGTCGAGCGTTCCGCTACCCTACCCTTTGTTGTATTTTGCCGAAATACAAACTTAGTAAAGGTTAAAGTGCATATTTTGTAACTTAACAAGTTTGATTTTGATGACCCTTGCTAGATTATCGTAAATCGACCCATTATCGAATTATTTGGAATTTCAAATTGTCGGACGTCAAATTTAGGAGAGTTATCGAAGTGAAGGACGTAAATAAAAGAATGCAATTTAAACAAGCCTCATGAAACTTAACAAGGTTGAACTGTATTCTTATAATAACATATAACGTTTTGCTCAGTTATCTTTTGCACGAGATTCGTCATTACCGCTGCAACAAAGCTCGCCGTAATTGCCTTGCCAAAACATTCGCATACAAATGTAACCCTGGAGAAAAGAATAATATTGCTCACTTTGCGCTAACTGACAGCATCTTCGGGGCTTGAAAATGGTGGGGTGAATTGGAGTACGATGGCAGCGGTTGTATCACTCGATAATGTGGTGTAGCGGAATCAGCAAAATCTACGAGATTGCTGGATTCGACTTCCTAACAGTACCTAGACACCGACTAACGGAGAGGGCCCCCCGATGATGTGTGATCTGCTGAGTTTGTTCACCTTGTGTCCCGTGGGTCTTTCTCCTCTGGTAGCTACAGAGAGGTTTAAGTGGGTGAAACTTGAGTGTCTTCGCGAGACGCGGGTATTGGGTGGAGTAACCATGCGATTACGTGCTCGACACCTCAAGGAACGAACCCCCAAGACAAACGACAAATGGTATTTCCGCCTCCTGTGTCTGGGGCTGTAAAACAAATTGGACATAAAATATAAATTGTGTAAATATTCTTAAATATAGTTTTAGATAGTGCATTAAAATATAATTTATTCCCAGCTCAATTACGTTTACAAATTTCACTTAATAATGCAGGATCTGAACGATGGAGAATTCATGAGTCCTCTAATATTGGCAAAACGCGTCAAGTAAACTGCTCTAAAAGATTAAGACTGCAGGAAGTGCCATCAACTATGAAAACCCCGTCGCCAGTGACACAGTTCCCCATATCGTTATCCTGTTGAAATTACAATCGTTGCTACAGTTCCAGTTAATTCTACTGCCCCAGTACGTGGCGGAGTTGCTTGCTCTGTTGGTGTGTGTGAAAGTATCGGTGAATACGGATACAGTATCACCCTTCAGACGGAGTTAATCCTACCGCAAGCGATGTTGTGGACACCTGCAGCAAGTCCACCAAGAAACACAAACTTGGTGATGGCGACGGATAAATGGTTCTGTACACGACGTGGTTTATTCCTAAACGGCTGGATGGGTTGCTGTACAGCCCAGCCCGCCCAAACCACTCAACTTGCCAACGCTGACGGTCGAGTGCAATGGCGCCTGCAAGATGACCTTCAGCGATGCAGTCAACATCTACTGTCTCCAGCGCCATTAATACTGCATTCCGCCTATAGTGGAGAGGGTCAGGAGTGAAAACACAAAGTTGATCTCCACATGCATGATAACGCATTCGAAATGGCTGATGCCTATTTCGCAACAAATCCTCCACCTTGTGCAGGATGTTGATATCTGGAAACAAACCAGTACTGCAATACAAGTTGATTTGGTCCCGTGTGTTGGCTTTTTCAGTAAAAGACTTTGATGGAGATGGAGACGCTCGATCTACAAACGAAACACTTGTAAATCCAAAATTTTCAAACAAATGGTCACGAAAATCCTCTGTATGTGTGATGGGAACTCCAAAGTAGGTTAATGTAGAGTTTGGGCGCAGATTACGCCGATCATCTTGGTCTGTCACAGGTGACATGTCAAAGCGATATTCACCGGTTAGAGAAAAGCGGGGCCGGAATCCCCAATTCATGCACTAAGAGTGCTATGGAGGATTGGAATACCGAGGAATTGTTGGACAAGGTCGTAGTCTGTTACTGTCGGTGAATAATTCCGTAAATTCGTGAATAAAAAAATCAGTGTTTCGAATCAGTACACGGAAATAAGAAATTTTCATTTAATGAAGTTGGCTTATTCAATTTATAACTCAATATTTCTGATAAAATAAAAACTTTAACTGAAAACCAAAAAAAAATGTCGTTTATACAGTGCGCGTCGAAACTATATACGCACACGAAAATTGTCGATTTCTTTGCTAGTACTGGAAACTTTGCATCAAACTAAGGCTAAAGTACGTAATTAACAATGGTAAACCAACCCAGAAAGTTTGAATGGACAAGCAGCAATTTTTCTTTCGCAGTCGAAAATATAACGTTAAGAGGTCGCGTCAAAACTATATGCGCACAATGTAAAATTTTAAATAAGAAAAGATGGAGGAGTTATTTTTGTAAATAGTTGAGTCTACGCGAAAGAGCGCGAAAAATAACCTTTATTGGTTTACACCAGCTGTCTCCTGATCAAGAGCTGATGCCGCGAGGGAAGCTTTTGACCGTGGTAGAGTGTGAGCGCATCAAAGTCTACAAGGAAGAGAAACTAAGCAACCGCGAGATTGCTAGAGTAATAGTATTGAATACTATCGGGGGTCGTTATGACAGAAGGCTGACGAGGAACTGACGAAGATCGGGATGGCATGAACAGGTGATACGAAGGACAGCAGGATGACGAAGGTAAGTAGCAGCGGCCGCAGGACCAACGAGGATAGCGAGGAGAATTGGGACGGTAACGACAGGGAGATGGCGGAGACGGTGACGGTGACGAAGATCAAGTGGATATTGTACCAACCTGGGTACATTCAAGGAGCGCAGACTCTGCGTGGCAGCATAGCAGACAACAGAGACCGAAGGAGAGGCGACGATGGACTGGATTGAGCGGCTCGCATTCACCGCAGAACGTCGTATGCGGGGAAGATCGCAGAGGCCGAAAGGCCGCAACCCAGATGCGTTTGAAGTAGGAGATCAGTCTTAGATTTGCTGCGAAGCAGAGAGAAGACACTACGAGGTTTAACCTCCCGAAGAGAGAAGAGATTGAGAAGAGAACGTATTGCGTTGTCTACTCGCCTGCATTCTGAAGAGAGAAGAGCAGCGAAGAAGAGGAGAAGCAGTACATAGTGACCGGACGAGTTCTAGTGTGTGGAAGAAAACGGGTATCATCAGCCCCGTAGGGTCGAAGAGGAGTATCTGCAGCCTACCCTCCAGGTGCTGGACAGTCTTTTGAGGTATCGGAGCCCTCGCGGTAGTTTAGCCCGCGACGCAGCCCTGGACGACCTGTAAGATCACTAGAGCCTTGTCAACATCAACCGACCGCACGAGTAGTGAACTGAAGTGCTGTGTTTATTCGGTGTTACTGTGTCTGTTAGAGCACTCACAGAACTTGTTCACCGGTCACTGTCTGCCGGACACAGACAAGGCTGGCGCGGCACGAGGTGTCCTAAACGGGAGCTACTGTTATTGCCTATTCTTACTCTAGCTAGACGCATTAAACGCGCTGAGGGGGCTATAAGGAACTTCCTCAAGAAGTCAACAGGCTCTCAGGAGTCCAAGAAAGTTGGCAGACGATCGATTATTAACACGAGAGACGCCAGACAGATTTTTCGACTCGCTGTAACTCGAAGCCTATTTGCAAAGAAGATTGCAGAACGGTTACCAAGTCGTCCTAGTGCACCTACGGTTCTACGAGTGCTACGCAAGTGTCGCTATGCCAAGTACTCAAAGATAAAACCTGTGCTAGCTCTGAAGCCACACCACAAGGTGACCAGAGTAAAATTTGCTACTAAATTTGCAGATTCTAGTAAATATTGGAGTCGCGTAGTGTTTACTGACGAAAAGAAATTCAATTTAGACCGCCCTGATGGGTACCGTTGCTACTGGCGCGACACCAGAGTGGCGCCTAAGTTGATGTCCAAGCATCTGAACGGCGGGGGAAGCGTCATAATTTGGACGGGTGTGCCAATGTACGGCAACACTGAGGTAGTTTTACTGGAGGGAAGACTAAATGCTGCTAAGTTCACGGAAACACTGCGCGGAAAGTTGTTACCTTACCTGAACAAACTTCGCCTCAAAAATGGGCAAATCAGAGCCCATTTTCCAATAGGATAATGCATCTATCCACGCCGCAAGACACACGATGGGCTTTCTAAAGACGAACAACGTTACAACAATGGCGTGGCCCGCCAAGAGCCCCGGTTTCAACATCATCGAGAACGTATGGGGAGTCGGGTGTACGCAAATGGGCGTCAGTTTGAAAGTCGTGCCGAATTAAAGGCTTGCATCAAGGCTGAGTGGGCTGGTATTGAGCCCGGTTACATCACGAAGCTAATGAAGAGTATGTCAAAGCGTTTGCACCCGGCAATGGCTCTAAAAGGCGCTACAACTCACTATTAGCAGATAATTGTGCTATGCGCATATAGTTTTGGCGCGACCTGTGACGGGAGTCCGTCACACGGTCGCCGTGGTGCACGGCGACCAATTAGATTAGCTTATATTTTGTTGGCTCACAATGCCCAGGCCGGGCGCCACACAGATTGAATAGAGCAGAGTTATATTTCCCCACAAGCACGCACCGCCCCGTTACATCAGGTAGCACTTCGTAGTCCGCCCACACGACCATGAACGTGAATGACGCTCCCAATTTTAACGAAGGGGCCGGTGCTGCCCTTGAGCACGCCAGCTTCCCCCACTTATCCGTGTTTGAGTGGGAAGCGCTTCACCGCCTCGCCGCGGTGTCCGGAGAAGGAGTCATCAAGACATTGCTGACTGACGGTACGGAGACTGACCAACACCTGGCTGCTCATGAGTTCATGGCGCGTGAGCTCGCTGACCTGCGTCGGCGTGCGACGACTCCCACGCCGACCACGAACAAGACCGACATCGTGAAACTCGATGTCTCCAGCTACAGTGGCGACGGTGACGCTCGCCTCCAGTTGAATCGCTGGTTCTGTGAGATCGACACCGCGATCGAAGCTCGGCAGTTGTCTACCGAGTTTGCTCGTACCCGGTTCCTCTTGTCCAAGTTGACGGGGAAGGCCAAGGAATGGGCGGTCGGAAAGCTGGTCGCCGACGCCTCCTGCTTCTCGACGATGGAGTCACTAAAGGGTGGACTCCGCCTGGCCTTTGAGCCCCCTCAGGACGAGCGTGTCCAACGCTCGGCTTTCCTGTCTCTCAAGCAGGGACGGATGTCCATGCTTGAGTACATTCAGCGGGCACGACACCTGGTGTCGTGCATCACGACGAACCCGGTGGACATGGCGACCCAAGTCCATGTCTTCATCTCTGGTATGAACGCAGGCTACCAGCGTTTCTATCTGACCAGGAAGCCACCAGGATCACTCGAAGAAGCCTTCAAGACAGCACTACGTGAAGATTACAGCGTGTCCGCTTCCGAGGCGTTCTCCCTCGCTACCCCTTCCGTCACGGAGCCTGAGCCCATGGAGCTTGACGCCATTCAGGATTACCACGGGCGCCGGCGCTCCAGTCCGGCGCCAACGTCGTCTGCCCGACCACCTCTGGCGGGCCCTAGTTGAAGCACTCGCCACATGCGATGCTTCCGCTGTCGCAAGCTTGGACATCGCGCGGCTGTGTGCCGCGCTCCCGCTCCGGTCTTGGCGCACGTCGTCGCCGAAGACGCTGATGCTATCGTCGCCGAGTCAAAAAACGGCGACAACCAGTAGGCGCGGCCCTACTGGTTGTGGAAGGAGCGATGGCTCTCTGGTGGCAGAGCCTCCTCCTAGCCCTTCCGTGCTTCGTGCACACCTTTTTGTCACCATCTCCAGCAGCGACTCGAGACTGATTGTCCTTAACGTCCACGTTGATGGCGCGAAGCGACCGCTTCGCGCGCTGCTGGATTCGACGAACAATTTTGTTTGCGCCGACAGTTTGTCGGTGTTACCGGCGGGTCTGAGCTTTCGCGAGGGTCCGGGCGAGATGATCGTGAAATACGCGGGTGGCAAGCCGCGGCGGATGCCGCAGCGCTCTACGACCTTCATGTACGAGTTTGACGGATTCCGAAGCTCCGAAGTGTTCCTGGTGATCGAGCTGAGTGGCTCGTTTGACTTCATCTTCGGCATCCCATGGCTCGCTCGGCACCAGCCTGAGATTAACTGGCTGACCGGCACAGTCCACCCACGTGACATCGACGTGAATGCAGTACTGGAGTTCTTGCGCGGAACGCCGGACCGATGGCCGCATGTTGCAGTCATGGACTCCGACTCCATGACCCATGCCGCACCTGACGTAGGCGATGGCCCTTCGTGTGCGGCGTGCGAGCACGCATCTTGCGCCGGTCATGAGTAGGTGACTCAAGACGCGTCTGACGTGGTCGATCATGGGTTCCCACGTCCCGATGAGCAGCGGCTCTCGGCAGCAGACACCACCGTGGTTGAACAGAGGTTCCCACGCACGGACGAGCAGCGGCTCTCCGTTGAAGACGAACAAGAAGACGTGGCTGAGCGTGGTCTCCCACGTGCGGTCGAGCAGGGGCTCCCGCATGTGGTCGAGCAGGGGCTCCCGCATGTGGTCGAGCAGGGGCTCCCTGATGAAGTTGACGCCGATGTCGTGTCCCGGCGTCTGAGTACCGCAGACTTGGTCGAGCGTGATCTCCCACTGCCTGCTACGGAGGAGTTTGCCCGACCAGTCCGTCGCCGTGGTCGCCGCCAGCCTCGGCGACCCCGTGCTCCACCGTACGAGTCAGACGCGTCTGACTCCGAGGTCATCGCCGTTCTGGTGGGGGGTGACGCGGCGACGAACCCGCGTAGGTGCGACGTTGAGGTCGC